CCAGGGTTCGAACCCAGGATTACTGAGTTTCGTAGTGAGCTTTTTATTGCAAACTGACTGAAGATGAAATATGGACAGTTATGTGCTTATTCAATACCCTGAATTCAATGCAACTTGATGATACTAAGTTTGACACCAGGTGAGGTCGTGTGTTCAGAGTGTTAGAGAGTCCCATGCTTGGATGGGACAGTTGTTTAGTGCTCCCTATTTTTTGTGGTACTCTGAACGGCCAATCCATGATAACCTCCACTTGAGGTAAATATATAACATGAGCATCTTAAGTATATGAGATTAATTAAAATTACATACACTCCAAGTTTTAATTATTTCGTCGCTTATTTTCTGTACTTCCTCATCATTTTTCTTCCTTCTGACTAATAAAACTGTTGTTTATTACTATTTATTGTGTTATTGTTTTTGGCCATATTGCTCTCAAAATGTACCAAATGTGTGATTTGATGCACTACCGCTACTACCACTATTGTACAAAATTGTTAATTGCTTTCATTCAGTATTATATAATTGAGCTTCAAATATCACTATACTGTATAGCAGATAGATAACCCCTAATTCACTGTAGATATAACTAACATGATGGTAAGTTTTAACCTTAGCAAACACTAGTTACTTGACTGTTTGACAGTTTACAAACTTGTAGGTTGTATTTATCATAGATTGATGTCAATTAAAGTACCGTTGAAAACCAGGTAGCACTGAACAGTTGTTTTGTCATAGCTTAGATGTCTTCAACAGTACGCACCCATGAATCTGTCAGCGATCGAACCCAGGACTTTCAGGTATCGCATCGAACGTTTAATCACTAAAACCGCTAGATTGACGTCCAATGGTAAAACTCTATCTTCAATCAATTCACGATATGGTACAAAAACATAATATATTGTTACTAAGCTTTACAGCATTAGGGATTCCAGCTAATTAATTAATATCTAATTACAAATTACTTTTGGAAAACTACGATTCGTTGGATTCATCAAAATATCTACACTAATAACACTAGCGACTGGTTTAATTAAATCTGAATTTCATTTTTAAATAATGCACATGTAATATCTTTTCTACGTACTGCTCACTCGGCATACCATCTAGGTTCATGGGAGACCTTAGTAAAATTGATTTCTCAATTCTGATGTATACTACGGTTGGCAGTTATAAATTCCTCTCATTTTTCACATATAATCTATAAATGGAATGAAGATGCAACTCGGTTCATTCATCTGATAATTAGTCTATCAATTGAGATATGAAAAATTGAGATACCATGGCAAACAACGTCTACTTACAATAATTGATTCACGTAAATATATGAGTAATCAAATGGCCTAAATACTGTCAACGTGGGCGTTGACTGTTACTCAGTTTGTAGTCCATTTTGGTTAGTTTTAGCTCATTCTTACTCTCGCCACCCCAGTATTCTTGTACTGATTCATCGTATGTAACCTTGGTGTGTCGTTAATTTAAAAAAAACCCTATCTTACCTGTTCAATATAGTTTTAATTATACTTAAAAGTACTACAGATAGAAACTGTTTATCAAAGGTAATGGTAATTGATTGATTATGATTGAATCTTCAGTTCCTATTGTTGATCAATAACTGATGAAATTACTTATTCTTCATTGAAACTTATCACTTTACTTCAGTTTAGTTTATGAATAGTTAGACAGATATACAGACGAACAAACAATGAAAAATAGTGATCAGAAAGGAACAAATGAATATTTTCTCATAGAATATTTGAAATTCTGAGCAAAACAAAAAGAGATTGTGTTAAGAACCATTTTAATAAACTTTGGATCGTATTATTTGGACTTGGTTATAATTCTTAACGACATCAGCTAAAAGCATTTGACTACTTGATTTTCAGAAAACTGCTACTGAGAATCTGTAGTAGTCCTATTCATTCTATACTTCCCTCTAAACTCTTATGCTTAATATAACATTTTCAATCATTGATTTCTTTATCTTGTTAATTTTACCCTGTCACTATTGGAATATGACCTTTGTCAAGTTAAACCGATACATACTTGTCATAAGCTTTACATTGTTTATCATTAACTGACTGTATACTTTGCGCTTAGAAGATAACTTCTTAATTTTTCATTGGTTAATTAAAGGAATTGTAGGATTCTCTCAACAGTCAGTGTTAGTCATGGTAACATCGCGCAGACACAGTAATCCTTTATCGACCATTAAATGCTAATATTCAATATTCCTCCCTACTCATATCTTTTCATTCTTACCTTTCAAACCATATTTTCAACCTTCAATCTTTTTCACTTCTGTTACTACTGTAATTATTTCTATTCCCTTACTACTCATCTCGTTAATTTCCTTCAGTCTTGGTATTATGGCATGATCATTTAAGCCAACACACATTAGTCTCAGGTTTTTTGTTGATTATAACTGACTGAATGTATGTCTTATGTTTTGTGTCTCTTCAAATACAATTCTATGAATAAAGAATATTCTTTCCAATAATTTCTCATTAGGTTCTACAATTATCTTATATCCAAATGATGATCAGGTTTAAGGCGAAGTACATTTAAAATTAATAACATGAATCAAAGATTGTTTGTTATATAAAATAACATGATATTAATCTGCATATATTTACTAGTGACTGGCTTCAAGAGGTATTTCCTTTAGTTCTAATGAGAAGCAGTGACTAGTGGAGTTCAACTGGGTCTGTTGTGAAATAGTAACTCACTGAAGACAATGGTGGATGTGTGGCTCAATTTCGTGGATTAATTGGAGTTAGACATTAACACTGTTGGATGTTGGCCGGCTCAGTGGTCTAGAGGTTAGGCATTTGCGCGCGAGACTGATAGATCCCAAGTTCGAATCCCGCGGGGCGGGATCGTTCGCCAAGGTAATAGGAGCGGTTGGACATGCTTCTTTTGTACTCAAAGCTCTGGCTTTTTAATCCGAATAGCAATTGCTTCAGCCATCTGTAGGATTTCCAGTTTGACAGATTTAGGTAGATTTCTGTTAACACGATATATTATTGTGAAAGATTGTTTCATTTTGGCTGTATGGTTTGTTTGAACTAAGTTAGCTAAAATTTAGTTGCTAACAGTTTTAACTACACCTTTGCTTAAACACATTGTCGGGTGTTCACGAGCACGAATATACAAATACCTAGAACACCTGCCACTATAACTTGCTCCATAGAAGTAGTTAAATTGACAGATACAGAAAAAATACTTGATGTATTTTATTTGTTAGTTGTCTGCTCCAGTACATAGTGTTTACCGTTAACAGTGAAGTAGTCGAGGACATTCAAAATTTCGCTTATATTCCAATACTTATTCAATCATACATTTAATATAATATCAATATTTAGAATAAAAAAAATCCAATCACTTTTATTTATTACTTCAGTCAACAAGACTCGTATCTCTCTTTAACTGAAAAGAAACAAATACTTAACTAATCTATCTTCTCCCGAATATAAACATTAATTCAAATTCACTTGGTATTGTTTACTTGAATCTTCCCATCGATATTTAGGACTTCAATCGATCAGTCTCTTATTAACATATGTGCATACTGTGCGTATTGCCTTAATTTACAAGCATTCTAAGCAAAGATGGATAGTGGCTAACAGTGAAATACAGGACGCGCTTTCCGTTCTATTTGGGACTCGTCACTGGACGTACCTGCATTTCAGAGTTGATGTTCACTTTGGAACTCGAACCCAGTACCGTTCTCTTCAAACATCAGCGCAGTATCCACTTAGCTACTGAGTCCTGATAGCTAAACATTAATTATTCATCAATTATTCTAGTATTATTGTTTGTTTATTTTGCAATTTATATTGTTTTTGCTTTCTAAAGATTATGCTCTTTTTTCGTACATACATGTAAACGTATACGGTTTGTATAGAAAATTCAACTAATTCATGTTCTCCTCACATTTTACTTGATTCAATCATACATGTTTATTTAATTTATGCACCTAGTTACAGGATATAAATCTGTTATCACTAGTAGAAAAATCATCTGATTGAAGGTTTAAAATTATAGCCTGTTATAAAAACGTTTATGTTGATCTTGTTAACTGTTTACTTATTTCTAGCAGACTAGATACAATTGTATATTCATTTATTTGAATATCTTTTTCACCTTAATAATAGTTAGAAAGTTGTCTTTATTGTTATCGATACATATGCGGTGTAGGCTACTTATGTCCACAGACATAAGTAGTATGTAACGCTGATCATAAGTGGTTTGCGTGACAGCAGAAGTTTGAGATCTAATTGAAGAGAACGGTAATGTAAACATAGAGTAGTTGTAATAGCAGTGAAGGAACGATGGGGTTTGAGACCATTGATGGAAGATTTGCAAATGAAATATTCAATGTATGGTTGTCACATTTTATGGAAAAATTCCGTGATTTTGCATTGAATAATAAATTGGTTGTCCTCATCTGAATGTTCATTCATTACACACACGTCCTTAGTTACAGATCTATATAAACCTTTAGAATTAAACTTCATTACTTAACATTATCATACTTGTTACAAATACTTCAACATTTGATTTAAATTCCATATTTAATGGTGCTAATGTATCCACGTTCCTCCTTTGATTTCAATACTTTTAAAGCTGATCTCAATCTTTGATTGGATGTTTGGTTTTTCTAACAAAACTTTTAAATTGTTTTGGACATTGAACTTTCTACAGTTAATCAATCTATCAACAAATTCCAATCATATTCTTCATTTATCCAGATTAAAGGAATAGGCCATGATTGATTCTATTGCATCATCAACCTTATATAAGAGTTTTGCGTTTATAACGTTGTTATTTCAAAGAGAATTATAATTTGTAATGTTTAATAGCATAATACGTTGATTTAAAACCAGACAGGATGACTATTAGAAAATAGCAACTGTAATTTCAATAATCTAAATAAAATTACTATTTACTTTAATATTCAGTTTACTGTAACTATTAATCTATTTGATTCACACATACAGGTATGCTTCCACGTCTTAGTCCTGAAATTTGGATAACCACAAGTGAATATCGTCCTGATACAGATTCAAATTTGGATACAATTAGTACATCAGGCGAAGAATTCCCATATAATCCTGGTTTTCGTCCACATGGAACACGTTCATTAGGTCGTCCATTGTTTATTAGAGCAAATGAAACAGTGTGTATACTTGGCAAAAGGTTTGTTAAGTTTTTTTTTCTTTTCAATATTCTATCTACTTACTTTTGCATTAAAACTTACAAGTTTTTGTTCACTTTTCTACTTATGATTATCAAGTAATATTATACTGTTTAAAGGGTAATCGATTTTCATCTGTTACACAATTACAAAATGGTAGTTGAATACTTTTCTACAAGATGTTTTATTGTTGTATCATCCTGTCTGGTTCACAGTTAAACAACTTTTTTTTCTCTTAACGCTAGCAAACATGAATTAGTTATCTTTTTATTGATAAATATTCCGATTAAATACCATTTTCTATTGATTGATTACTAAGTAACAACCAATATTATGTTTGTCTAATTTTTTTAGTGCTCAACAAACATTGTTTGACCGGAGCTTTATACCTGATAAGACTTGTCAGCTAGACGTATCTGGAATCTTTGCGGAACTAATGCTCCCCGTGGCATTCAAACTCATACTAACCAGTGACGTAGCTAGAAATGTTACTACTGAGCTATTCGGGTCTCGATTAACCTCCTGTAGCGCTAGTACATTAAATGTAATTAATCACCTATTAGTAGGTAATGTCACTCTTTGTGTAGTCTTTAGTACTAATGGAGTTCTCACTGACAAGTAGGCAACCAGCACGACACCTAACTACAAGGCTTACTTGCTTTTACTACCTTCCGTCACCTTACAAATGTCACTGTTTTAGTTATTTTAATGAATCGGGTTTTTTAAAGCTTCCTGTGAGTATCATGGAGAAAACAAGCACGTATTTTCGTTAAAGTTTCATTAGATTTAAGTTATATTCATTGTCATATGCATTGTATTAATGTACTATGTTATATATAGTTTTCACATTAACTCTAGAGTAGTGACATACTAAAACACTATCAATTCGTCATGAGTCTGATTGGTAATTACTTACTTACGCTTGTTACTCCTCGTACAGGAGCATAGACCACCCACTAACACTCCATCCAACACTATAGAAACTTTGACACTGGAGTTTCTGAGAGAATTGTCAACATTATCCGGAACTCATATGACGGACTACAGTGCAAAGTCGTACATGGAGGACAGCTGACAAATACATTTCATGTAACGACCAGAGTCAGACAAGGCTATCTACTCTCCCCCTTCCTCTTTCTCTGATTGGTAATACGTGAACTATATTTGGAGATATAGCCTTTCCTGCTGTAATCCAATAAATTAAAGTCTGTGGTAGTAATAACAATGTGTTTACTAATGACTAACTGTGAAAGAGATTCCTGGAGTTGTAGCGAGAAGCTGTGATCAGTGGAGTTGAATCATGTCGGAAGTTGGATAGGTATAGCTGACAATGTTATTATAAATTTAGTGGTGTCAGGAATGTAAACTATTGTATCCCAATGTAGTAGCCTGAAGGATAGGTGCTTGCCTCAAGACCCAGAGGTTCTGGATTTTACTACTGGAAAGATGGACAGTTCACTGAGAAATCTCATACTAGAACAAAATAGTCTTGTCTTTCTATAGTTATCTAATGAAATATCATTCCGCTAGGCATGAACTAAACATTGAACAGTCTCCTTTGTTATAAAACAACCTATATGTTTATTTATAACATTGTAAATGTTTGGTTTACTTTTCTTATCAAATAGCTTTTGTTTGACTTAATTCTTTCTCTCTTGTAGAAGTAGTAACACATGGAAAGTGGTAAATTTGCGTACGGGACTTGTAGGTTGCATTCCATCGGGAATTTTAAAACCATATAATTCCCCTGGGAATGATTCATCTGTTACCCGCGATCGTCATACACTAACTACTAATAATACTGCCACATCGTCACCGAATACTATGGGGTTGGTAGCGAAAACACGTTTACGTATGAGTCGAAGAGGTTAGTCGAGATAATCATTCTTGTTTATTTTCTCTTTGTTGTTATCAATAACACGAGTTTTATTCTTTGGACTGACGTTGTGTAAAATATATTTTTATCTTTCCAATATAAGCCGAATTTTTCGAAATCATTTTTATTGGTACCCCACATATATGAGACATGGTTAGTCAATAGAAACATGTGAAATTTACATTTAATTAGATCATAGGTATCTTTTAAACATTAATGATTGTCGTATGTGGTAGAACCATCGTATGATCTGTCTTGTGTTTAGAAAGAAACATTTAGAGAGTAGGTAGATAATATTTTAAACCTTAGATGACTTCAGTGGTTTCCATACTTTTAGTCTTTAAGAGAATTTTCGAATAACTAGACCTCAATTTCTCACAAATAGCTACATTTTCTGAATGGAATCGGAGAGTGAATATCACTTTTATCACAACATAATTTATTCAAACTTTTAACACCTCTTACGACAATTGCTACTATGATTCAAATTAGAGAGCATCTATTTGTGTGATCTGAATATTTTCGTAAATTTCATCATAAAAAGAATTTTATAGTGATGCATTTGATTCCTAGCTTGCTTTCGTCCCTAATCGAACTCAATTAGATTATCATTGAAAACTAGTAAATACTAGACAGTTTTCTACAAAGCTTAAATATCCTTAGTTAGGTAGCTGATGGGTTAACGGGTTTACTCTTTCGAAAATTTGTCCAGTGCTATTCTGTTTTCCAGTGATACTTCGATTGAGGTTAATCTTTAACGAGAATACCAACTACATCTGATGAGTTTCATTGAAATTATGAATCGATCAAAGTTAAACAACCATCGAAAACCTGGAAGCACTGGACGATCGATTCGTCCTAGTATAGGACTATTCAGCAGTGTGTATCCACAACTCTGCCGACGGGAATCGAACCCAAAACCCTCAGTTTCGCACGCGAACACAACCTCTAGACCACTGAGCCAGGAGCCAATGGTATACAAGTCTAACTCCAATTAGTTTACAATAATACATGACCATCTATCATTGTCTTCAATGGATACCTTTCTCTAATTAGTGTCAATTTTCTCCTTCACTAAAGAAAAAAAGAATGATTTTTGTGATCAATTGTTATTTCAATTTCAATTTAGCTTCATTAACAGATTTGGCTTTACGCAGTGAGTTATCTTCCATGTTTATAGATTTAACGGGAGCAGTAATGCGCTTTCTTCTTTTTTTTTTGCCAAAATTTAATTTTTGTTGCTTTGCATAAAGTAAACTGATTGAAAATAGTTTATACTGAAAGTATTTTGCAATGATGATTTATATTAGATAATGCCATTGTATTGTCATTGATTGATTGTTTATTCATCTTATTATCATCTATTGGCCAAATATTGCATTATATGAAAAAATAATGACAATGTCACAATGTTCTCGTTTTTGCTAATGGATATTGTGTGTTTATATGTAAATATAAATCTTTTTCACCTAAATATTCTGCCATCTTGATGAGATATAATTGTGAAACGATTTTTTTTCTTCATCAACCTATTTGGATTTCCCTTTCTTAATACTTCGGATGCCAAGAGATGTCCATCTTCAGTTTGTCTTCAACTAACCCATAATTTTATTTATTTATTTATTTGAACACATAAATATTGTTATACATGGGCACCGAATACATATGCGCCACACAAATCTCATTTGGTTTGTATGAGGGCTGTGATACTTCCCAAGTGCCCAGACCGAAGCAGGTGGTCTTATTAGGAGGCCACACCCAGAACCTTCGGCCCAAAGGTTTAATTCACAAAGCAGCGGAGCAACGTCAGGACAGGCAGTCTCGTGGTAACCAGTAAACAATAATTGATTCATACGTCATTTGTTCGCTCAGGATCCTGGAGCTCATGTGCACCATTAGTTTGGAATGAGGGTTTTACAACTCCCCTAGGTAGATTCTCCATATCCACCAACCCGAATAAAGCACCGAACATTCACTTTTCTTCCTCTGAATTTCGTAAACAACAGTAATGCCGTGAGAAGGCAGTGAATAGAACTTCCCTGTCAGTAATTGTATGCACATGGTCATGTGAGAGCATTTGGAGAGGAAGAGCTGACTCCCCACCATCGGCCGTACCAGGACATTTGGCGGTAAAGTATGTATCAGAAGTGGAATTCTAACCCATGTCCGCATCGTTGAATGTTATCAATTATTGCTGCTATTGTTTCCTACTAGTTTATCGCTTTTTGGTAAAAAAAATCGTTTCTAATGATTTTTATCACTAAGGAGTATTAATGTGCAAAAACATATTTGTATCAGCATTTCATCCTATTTGGGACTTGTCAGTTAGATTTACCTGCATCCTAGAGTTGATATTCATGCCGGGATTCAAACAACCAATACAAATGAATTATGTCATATATTTTAATAATAGTAAATATTTAGAAGTTATTACTAATGATACTACTTACAAGACTTTTTATTCCTTCACAAAGAGATATATACAACATATTAATATTGAAACTTGATTGATACAACAGTCGTTCCACTTTTCCTCTTTTACTATTTACAAATTTTATTTCTGATTATCTGTTTAATGTGGAACTATGTTGTAAACTAACATGATATGTTAATAGCTTTCTCTCTTACATATATGATATATCTTGCACATATTATGAATTGACACTTCATAATAAATTGTTCGATAGTCTTATTTTTGGAAATTTACATGCATAAACACCAACACATTATCTCTTATCTAACTCCTCCTTTTCTATCACTCTCACTTTATAACAATGCTTACTTCCATATTTGGAAGTTTGCTTTAAATTGAATTTTTCAATTATTTCCTCTCCTTTTCAAGTATAATAATACTGTCGAAGATTTTTCATGAAGAGAAGACTGTAAGTTGAAGATGTTTATTCTTATTAATTGATATCATCTGGAGAAATGTTTGAAGAACAAGGTTCATTTGACAAATGCTTTATCCAAATTTATACTGTACTCCCAAGACGTATGAAATCAAATCTAGTACTTTCAGGTTACCTAAAGAAAGACAATATTATCATGGAATGTGACATATATGTGCATCAATTCATATCAACACAGTAAAATGAAATTATCAAGATAAATCTCAGAGTAGTAATAGTTATAACCGTATTAGTCGTAGTAGAAAAGATATATAGTTCAAGCATTAAAAGTATAAGAAAAATATATCTGCACTGATGCGACCGATTCTAAACCATATAGCACAACATCTCTAATCATTGGTTACGATAGTCGCGCGAACTACAGCCAGGTTGTCTAGACCTACCTACACTCCTCTTTTGAGACTCAATGACCTCATGGACATCTTGGTTTGCTTCTCCTAACTTTTTTCCAATCTACTTCTACACCAGCCAAAGGTGCAAGTTGAGATAGGTGGTGTTTCAGCATGAAATGATGGAAAATATTTGCATCACATGATAAGGATGTTAGAGGTGTTCTTGATTTGAAATTAGTTTGGTCAGGTCAACAGAATTTCTCAATAGCTCACTTCTCTTTGAAGTATATGCTGATGATTGTGTCAACACATATGTTTCCCAGGAATAAAATAAAACAAACTGTCGCACAGTTTACTCATCCTTTAGTTAGCAGATGGCCATTTCACCTGCATCACAAGAGATACAAGTTGGCGAATCCATTCTAAATTCCTGCTGAAATTTCTTAAAACACCAGCTCATCAGCGATGATGAGACTTCCAAATCAAGTAATTTAACTTCACGAGAGTAGCTGATTCAATCCTTATGAGTAGTTCAGGCTTTGGGGATGACCGGTCCTGTTACAACATTTCGCATTTAGACCTGAATGAACGTATACCAAACTGCTCGTCATCTATCATTATAGCTTCAATAAACATATTATAACACATTTCTTTGTGGACTCCACTTTACTTAATTTATTTCATTGAAACAAGGAAATTTAAATGAAGTATTTTATTACAAGTTAAGGAATTTAAGTAGTATTATAGTGAACAAGAACACGAATGGGGATAATCGGATATATTTGATCACAAACTTAAAGGACATCTTATTAAAATCTGAGAACCATAAAGTAAATAGTTTGCAAAATATCAATCCATTTTCTCAAACTTGACTGTTTCTTTTGCAAATATCACTTCATCGTCTCAGATTTCATTGTTCCTGCGTTTTAATATCAATTGTTTTCAGTTCCCGTTCTTTCCTTCTCGATCTTCTACTGAAATACATTCTATTCCTCACTATCGTCATATACTACTTATTTGGATATAAGTAGTTCACACAGTATCACCAGATTGCATGTATTTCATACATTTATGATTGAATGGTTTTACTGTTTGTCTTCTCTATCACGTTTTGCCTCCAATTTATGCTTGCGCTAAATACTTGCTATAGTTTATTCAATTGTGTTTTTCTGTATTTAATTTTGGAAATAATTACTAAGTGCACGGTAATTTACAGGTATTATCAGGTTGATATAAAAAATAAGGGAATATTTAAAAGATGATAGTAGATTATTTTAAAAGATTTGATTCACATTTTTTCTTTAATACATGTTTAATGTACAATGGAAGCGAAATTCACAATCAAAGGTGACATCAATTTAGTATTTAGTAATTGACTCATGATCTCAACTACTAAAATTACTAAAAAGTCTCCATAAAACTCCTGATACTAACCAACATATGCTCACTAGTGACTGGCTTCAAGAGATATTTCCTGGAGTTCTAGTGAAAAGCCGTGACCAGTGGAGTTCAACCGGATCTGTTGTGAGATAGTAACTCACTGAAGAGCATGGTGGATGTGTGGTTCAATTTCGTGGATTGGTTGAAGTTATACATTAACACTGTTGGATGCTGGCCGTCTCAGTGGTCTAGAGGATAAATGTTCGCGCGCGAGACTGATAGGTCTTGGGTTCTAATATTGCGAAGTGGTACCGTAGATGCGAACTTCTGAGGAGTCCCACAATGGGACGAAACGATCGTCCAATGCTTCCATGTTTTCCATTGTGGTCTAACTTCAATTGACTCCTGAATTGAACTATCGAAATCACTAAAATCTCCACAAAACCCCTTCTGATACTAATTTAGTATTTGACATTGATAAAGAAATCTTGTTAAATAAGAAATAAAATGGTTCAGCAAAGAGTTCTCGTTTTCTTTTTGATGAATTGTTATATCAAAGCTGTACCATCACAAATGATAACAATCACAATAATAGTAATAACAGAAATTTTTCTAAAAATGGCAATAGTGAGGTAAAATAGAGAACGTCCGAAAAACATTAATTTTTGTTAAGGAAACTAATGATAATTTTGTTGTTTAGAGCTTGAAGATTCATCATGAAAATAGATATGGAGATTATAATTGCGAAGGGAAGGTTTAACATGACAAGATAGAATGCTGGAATTGAGATATTGTTATAAAGAGAATCATAGAAATATAAAAGTCTGTAGAAAGAAAGATAGTCGAGGAGCAGATGTCTATGAAAGAAAAATAGAAAAACGTTACTAGAGATTTATACCATGGTAGGAGCAAAGGTCAAACCAGTCTCTTTTGTACATATAATTCTAGTTTCTTCAAATGTATAGCTAGTACTTCAGCAATTCTAAAACGATAGAAGCTAACTGCCTTTGCCAGCTTTTTTACTTAATGTGTAAATAACTCCGAGTCCGTTTTGATCGAATAATCTATGTTCACGAGTTGTTCGATTACACAGCTTCTTATTGAGCTATTCCCACCTCTCTTCAACCATGTTGGATAATATTCTTGAATTCTTTTGGATAAAATACTCATCGAACAACTTATATACCTGATTTCAAATGATCAGATAAATTGACAAATGCCTATGAAATTGGTTGATTCATATAGGGTTGTGTCTACCAAGTAGTATGTGAAGAACATTAATACTTTGGAAAGCGCTCTAAATACGTTATGAGCGTTTTAGAACGACAGCTTTATGTACAATATTAACTGGCATCTACTGTCACTGTTTAGAGATGTATTGCATCTACTTTCTAAACGAGAATAAAATTGATTAAAGATGCAATAATGTAAGAGATAACATAACATGTAGTTATCACATCCGACTGAGATATATAGTCGACTTTTTAATTTTTGCTAATTATAACACTATATTTAGTAACCAGCATTCTATTTATAAAGGAGGAAGAACTCATATATCACACTTACAAAAACGAAAAATAAGTAATATGTAAGGCAATTTTACTCCAGTTTGCAATGTTTATTTATTCATTTACAGCTAGAAGGAAGATAAGAAAATCAAGAAGCACAGAACAATAACCACGATAAGAGAATTCCTGTGATGAATCTCTTTATCTGTATATCCTTAAGTGTTTCTTAACATATTTGTTTATGTATAAATAGTTTTTTTCTAGTTTGATTTTCTCTTTCTCTTTTTTTTTATTTTCAATATAGAAACTGTTTCTCGACTTAGCAAATTCAGTTTAATCAATCCAACCGATAACAATAGTAGCAATAATAATAATAGTAGTATTAGTAGTAGTAGTGGTACATCACGTTCACGTATAAAATTAACTGCAGATCAAATAAGTTCACCACAAAATGATTTTCGACATATTGGTCATGTTGGTTCAGATGGTCGAACATTTGGTGACATTGGTTTAGTTAGTAAAATGATTGATTTGAATGGTTAGTTTATCGATTTTATTTCTGAATATCATTTTTGTTAATTAGTTTAAAATAATTTCTTTTATAAAATATATGTTCAATTGATTTGTTTATTAACGTCGATTAAATTAGTGTGTGTAGTCCTTCTTATTAAGTTGGTGGTTGGAAATAGTCAACAGGAAACCCTCGACCCGGGTTTCATGCTACTTGGCACTCGTCAGCAAGGTGTACCTGTAATCTTGAGGGAAATGGTGCTCCCTGATGGATTCGATCCTGTGTCACCCAGCTTCACAGTCAGAGACGTTTACCACAGCTATCTAGGCCTTCAACCACCATCTTATCTCAACATAGTGCACATATTGTCGAGTCACCTATAATAATGACCACATTGCAACTTGGTCGATAGTATTCGATCTGCACTAAGAAGGAATTGACACACATGAAATTGATCACCACTCAGTGATCAATTAGTTGTGATTAGTCCTTCTTAGTACTCTCCGATTATATTGCAATGTATTCACTAGTCTAAATGCCTTGACACATCACCTGCACTAAGTTTTGCTATTAAGTGGTTTGAGGTATTTGGTAGGAAATTGTAAACCTCAGTTTCTTGCTAATTGTTACTCACTCATGTAGAAGTCTTATCTGCATTTTTGAGGTAACTGATTCTGTTTTATGTCATTCGAATTCATATCACTCAGCTTTACAGTGTGTGACATAGTTTTAGCTAACATGAAACATAGATTCAATGATATCCTAGCAATTGTTGCCAATCACATTATATAATGAATTCGCAAAATGTAAACAATATTGAAGTATCCATCCTAGGAGCTCATATAGTAACAGACATTCAACAATTCAGTTCTTATAATTTACTAAAACGTATTTAAATTAACCGACCTAACATTAAAACTTGTCATGTAAGTATGAATCAATTCAACTTCATGTAAAAATCTATTCTAGTCTATTCACTTATTTAATATGAAATTAATCAAATATAAACTATATTTTTGTTTGTATAGTCTGTGTTATGTAACTAACAGTTCACCTTTGTATCTCTAATTTTTTCACACACACACCATCGTAGTGGATACAATTATTTCTCTCCTTCTATTTACTTTTTGTTACTCATCAACGGTTTGTTTGTTTTTTATTCCTCTCATAATCCATAAACATAATTACACTTACCATTTCATTGTATAACGTGCTTTACCTCTTTGAGAATTGAAAATATATATATATATATTATCGGTAAATAGTGGCTGACAATTTATGTTCCTCTCTAATACAATTTTATTCATTTCATCATTATCTACTTAACGAAATGGTTAATGATCCCATTGTACACACATATGCTCCCGTTAGTTATAAAACCAAGATCTAATCGCATCGGTGTATGTATGTGTATATACGTATAGGTTGATTATTGTTTGTAATTAATGAATTGATTTAGGAATTAACCTCTAACAATTAAGCTGAATCGTTCGATCAGGAAGGGAAAGGCTATTAATTTTATATTGATTGTTTTTATATCGAAATTTAGTTCATATTTTAAATAGATAACTCATATATATAAACTGTATAAACTTTTCTTCTTAAGAACATCGTAAAACAACCAGTGCTATACTTATTCTTAATTGTTATTGTGAAAAACTACTCAATAATGTTGTTTACACTTTTTTTCATTAACATTCTTATGTGTTCAAACTTCTGGTTTCAAATCTCCCAACTGGCCGCCAATCGATAGCATATTTATTTATTTATTTAAACACATAAACATTGGTACAACGAGGCACCAAATATATATGCGCCACATAAATCATTCGATTTGTGTAAGGGCTGGGATACCGCCCGTATGCCCAAATCGAAACAGGTGATATTCTCAGGGGGTAACACCCCGAACCTTCGACTTAAAGGTCTAATCCACAAGGCGATGGAGCAACGTTAGGAGATCCAGTCACATGGTAGCTAGTGAACAACGATTGGTTTATACGTCATTTGTTTCCTTAGGATCCTGGAGCCCATGTGCATCAATAGTTTGGAATGAGGGTTTTCCAACTCCCCTAGGTAGATTCTCCATGTCCACCAACCCCGTTTTAGCGCCGAACATTCGCTTTTCTTCCTCTCAATTCCGTAAACAACATTAATGCTGTGAGAAAGCAGTGAATAGAACTTCCCTGTTAGTAACTGTATGCACATGGTCATGTGAGAGCATTTGGATAGGAAGAGCTGACTCCCCACCATCGGCCGTACCAGGGCATTTGGAGGCAATCAATAGTATAAAGAATTTAGGTAATATGAATACAAATGAACTACTTTGACGCGTATCCACATAATTTTTATTGTTTTCTAAATCGTCCTAGCTTAGGTATCATCCTATAAACTTTATTCCTAAATTCAGTTTATACAAAATAACTAACGCTCATTGAATATACTATTTCTGTTACTCCCCAATTGTATCTTTGTTTTGAATCAACTTTGTGACCTCCAGTTAACAAAAATAGTTGATTCAATTCAATACAATGTAGTACTCAAAGAACATATTTATGTTGATAGTTTTTTAAGCCAAACATTTTGTTTGATACATCAGTAATAATAACACTACCGATTTGTTCTGAAATTGAAATATATAAAGTAGAAGGTGAAAATGTGACATATTGTCTCAGAACTTGTTTACTTCAGCTCCTCGTTTTATCTTAGGTGATGTGAATTAATTGAATAGATTTAGTAACATCAGTTAAGGCCGAATTGTTAGGACTCTACAAATATCGCTCAACAGAATCTCTGGAGGATGAGACAGCGCCAGGAAATGTTTTATCCAGGTACCATTGGATAGAAACATATTGAAATGTGAGGGGTTATGTGTCATATTTGATTGAATAATTACTTATATTGTTACCAATATATAATGTTTCCAGAAGTTTCTAAGAGTCTGAGACGATTAAAACATTATAAACACACTAGATTTTCCCTTCACAATTAACCTCTTCTTCAAATTGACATGTAGAAAGTAGTCTAGGGTTACAGAAAGCGTCTGGGAAGTCAGTAAGGAGGGCTTCAGATACAAATTTATCGACAATGATGTAGTATACCTTGGCAATTAGTTTCCCATGATGTCTATAGATTCAAGAAGCTAGCTTTCATATGATTAAAAAGCGTATAAAAATTTCAAGAATACGCTGAAATAAATTCAATGTTAATTTATAATCAAACTAACAGAGTCCCATATTAGGACAAAATGGCCATCCAGTGCTTCCAAGTTTTCAATAGTGGTCTACACTTGAAGAGCATATGGAACTTAAAACAACTTTCAACCGATATCAAAGTCACAATCTTCAATACGAATGTCAAGGCAGTTCTACTGTACGAAGCTGAAACTTGGAGAACTACAACAACCGTCATCAAGAAGGTGCAAGTATTTATAAATAGCTGTCTACACAAGATACTCAACGTCCATTGGCCGGATACAATCAGCAACAGCCTTTTGTGGGAGAGAACAAACCAGCTTCCAGCTGAAGAAGAAATTAGGAAAAGACGATGGAAATGGATAGGACATACACTACGCAAACCATCAAACTGCATCGCGAGGCAAGCCCTAACTTGGAATCCTGAAGGAAGGCGGAAAAGAGGAAGGCCAAAGTACACAATACGTCGGGAAATAAAAGCAGATATGGAAAGGATGAATAACAACTGGAAGGAGCTCGAAAGGATTGCCCAGGACAGGGTTGGATGGAGAATGCTGGTGAGCGGCCTATGCTCCTTCACGAGGAATAACAGGCGTAAGTAAGTAAGTTAGATCGAATTGTGAATTCAGCTGTGGAAACAAATAACCTATTTGTCAGTAGTGACGATTTTATCGTTAAGATGAACTGTTGACACTTTTGTTTTATATTATTGATAATCTTATTTGCATAATGCAAACAAAACTAGGTTGATAGAAAATACACTTGAAGAAACAGTGTAATGAGGTTTATTTTTGTAAAAAGGTGAAAGAAAGATGGTGGAATATTTCAGAAAGGAATTGAATAAACAAATAATCTCAAGAAGATTTCCTGATAACGTTTTTGTAAAAAAACGGGTAATCTCTAGTTAACCTCTACATTTACATGTTTCTTCAATCAATCTCATTTAAATAGGTAATAAAAGTTTCTGACACACACTTGGCGGGATTTATTTGACCTTCATTTAATTCTCGGTATTACATAATGAAAACAAACAATTGATGTTTATAGAATTAAGATTTGTGGAGAGACGAACCAATCAGATTTAAGACAGCACGTCTTGGATTTTGATGCCTAATTCACTCACCCATTTGACCAAATAGCATCTTGACATTTTAGCTTATGTCAGTTCGTGATGAAAAACTGTATATCTAATTCCTAACCCTGACTATCAACTGTGAATTATAATCCTTATTTTCTAAACGGCTTTACAACCCTCATTTACCCCTAGTAAGTAGGTAGACACTCTCAAGGTCGTTCATAAATTATGGTCTAATCAAAAATGCATTATCGTTATTACTATTGTTGTTATTTTTATTACATCTCTAAAAAACTCGTCAGTTGGATATACTTGTTTATTACAGTGTTGATATTCACATCTAGGCTCGAACCTGATAGTAGTTCAGGTGTCATACATCAATGCGTTATCTATTAAATTTCCAATTCGAGGTGGCTACTAAGCTTGGCCGGTGGCCAGGAATGCAATTGTTTGTAATTATTCCATTGTTGATATATTGCCAGATTGATCAAAGGTCAGTCCTGATTAATAACAACAAGGAGGAAAACAAATGTTTACAATCAATGGTAAATTGTTAAACTATTTTGAATATACACAGTAGTTTAATAATAAGATTAGTGAATAGATTCAGTAGTGAAACGTAGGTTCTCATCAGTCATATTCAGTAATTTTGTTATATTATAATGTATTTCAATCATATATAACTAAAACAATCACAGTAGATGTAAGAAATTCCTTCTAAATTTGGACGATTAGTTTCACAGTATTTGGGCGTCCAGTTGATGTAAGACATTAAGGAAGAAGAATGTACTTGTAAAATCTCAATGAATGAATTCGAAGTAAATCCAACGTTTTCATTACACACTCAAACAAATACCTACTTTAACCATTGTTAACATGATTGAATGACCTATTTAGTATACAGTTAACTGAAGAACCATACGCCTGGTTTATATTCGATAATGCCCTGGTACGGCCGAGAGTAGCGAGAGTCGGCTCTCCCTCTCCAAATGCTCTCACATGGCCACGCTTATATAGCCTCTGCCAGGGAAGCCCTACTCACTGCCTTCTCGTGGCGGGGGTGTTGTTTACGAAATTGAGAGGACGAAAAGCGAATGTCCGGCGCTTTAACCAGGCCGGTGGACATGGAGAGTCCACCTAGGGAATTTGGAAAACCCTGATTCCAAACCAGTGGTTTATATGAGCTCCAGTATCCTGAGGGAACAAACGGCGTATGAACCAATCGTTGGTCACCGGCTACCATGGGAATTCATCTCCTTACGATGCTTCACTGCCTTGTAAACGAGACCTTCAGGTCGAAGGCTCCGGGTGTGGCCCCCTGAGAAAACCACCTGCTTCGATTTGGGCACCCGGACAGTATCACAGCCCTCACACATATCATATAAGATCTATGTGGCTCATATGTATTTGGTGCCTCCATGTAGTAATATCTATGTGTTAAAATAAATAAATATTCGATAATTTTGATGTTTGATTATATTTCCGTGAAAAAAAATTGGACTAGATTGTTAAACAAAATGTTGGATTTACTTCAAATTCATTTGTTGAGGTTTTACAAATACATTATTCCTCCTTATTGAATTACAACATAATTATAGTCTGTCGTACCAGTTTTATGATATCTATTTTTAAAATCTGTACAAGAAATCATTGTACATAAGAACATGGATGTTGTAAACACATCGAAGCTTATGATTTTTATGACTAAACTAATTAACATATGACTTGAATGAATGGTTTATTGTTATTAGTTTATGTTATTTATTCTAACCACCTCCACTCTCTCCTTTTAATATGGTTTCAGTTAAAATCTTCCTTTAAGTTGTATCCATCTATTCAATTGCTTGCCATTTGTTAGAGTTCTACTGATTTTGATGGAGTTTTGTTCTCTGAGCTGGATGGTTTGGTTATAGAGCTTTCATTGTTCTTCTGAACGACATTCTCAGCACAAACTTCAGATAGAAGTGACGTGTTCGAATTTCTCCATATGTGGTTCACAGCTTGTCCTGTAGAACTCGATGTTGCTTGATTCTTGTTGACCTTAAACCTGTCATTGTTTACTTCTTTGTTTTGATTGTATCTCGACGACCAAACTATCCGGCTGAGAGAACAAAACTCCATCAAAATCATCCACCTGAACTACAAATCTCATCAGTTGAGATGGCTGGGACACGTGTTACGTATGCCCAACGACCGACTGCCTCGGCGTGCGATGTTCAGTGGTATAGGAGTAGGTTGGAAGAAAGCTAGGGGCGGCCAGACCAAAACATGGCACAAGTCCATGAAGTCACCGACAAGTGCACAGAGTGAGTCATGTTGGTAGGTGTAGACTACCTGGTTGGGGACCGCGAGATGATAGCAACCGATGGTTAGAGACCCTGAATGACATGGTTCAAAATCGTTTGGAATGGCGCAGGTGCATCCACTCTTTGTGTTCTTCCAAATTCTAATCTTCTAATCCCTCCTTGTCTCTTTTTTCTCTTACCAAATTTATTTCACTGGATTATACTTTTTGAATAACATCTCCAAACGCTAATTTTCCCGATTACTGCTTATACTCTTACTACCTTTACCACTACGGGATTTGAATCGACCACTGCATCTCTGTGCTAATGTGGTATGGCAACTCGAACTGATGTACGTACGTACGTACGAAGTTCTACTTCGTTACTGACTGACTGATCTCAGTCCTACTGATTCATTTTCCTGTAGTCTCTTTCTCTCTCTCTCTCTCTATTGAGAATTTTCTTAATTGCTACTAACGATGTATATAAGAATGTATCATTTTAGTCACACAGTTTATCATCTAATATTCCTACAATTCAATACGAAATAAGATATTGTCGAGAGAGAGAGGTAACTATTGATCCTCATTCATTCACTGATTGAATTGATATCTCATTAGTAAAGTATAAAAATTTTTTTAATGGTTTATTCTTTTTATACAATAGATAATCTCTCTGATTCTCAATCATTTCACGATTTTACTGTATCTGAGGAAAAATACAAATCCAATAAATCGAATACTTTGCAAATTGTAAGTTATCACTTTATTTGTTTTGTATATACAATCATGTTGTAGTTCAGTAATCACTTTGTAAAAGATAAAACAGGATTCGAACTTGTAACCCTTAGTTAGTTTAAATATTCATTTAACGAACAAGTCTTAAAATGTTTCATTCTACTCTAGCTGGGTTAACAATTATCGTTAATAGTTTTAGTTAGAGGATTTGCGAAAACCTGTGTTAATTGATTCGTTGCTAAAACTGTAAGATAGATGTGTTTCAATTTGGATTTAGACTACTTTTCAGTATTTCCCCTTAAACACACATTAATATGGGATTGAACCGAGGATTTTCAGATCTTGTAGAAAACGAAATATTTTCAGACCGACAAGTGGTTAACGTACCAGGTTTCTGCATATATATACCATGATTATTTCGACTCCGTTACCATTCATCTTGTTAATTTTATTTAATCTTCGTAATGTATCGTATAGCAACTTGGTTTGAATGATTTTTTCTGGCTAGCGTTTCTTAGCGAGTTAGTTTTGTACGGGATGGAGTCGCTAACCCCATGTCCGACCCTCCTCCTTTATCCGGGCTTTGGATCGGTTGTAGCCGCAGAGGGGCTCCAGGCGGAGTTATGGCAACTTGGACCAACACATATTTGTACTTTGCTCTATTGTTATTATTGACTGGCAGTTTGACCGCATTGCTTCGTTTAAGAGATTTAATTAATCTTACTCTGAGAAAAAATGTAAACATTAATAATAATAACGAAGTTATTAAATTGCATCCTGAACGTGTGTATAATAATAATAATGGTATTAATGTCATACACAGTTCCCTTTGTTATTGTAAAGATAGCAATTTTTCTGATTACTGCTTATACTTTTACTACCTCTAGCACTACGGGATTCGAATCGACAATTGTATCTCTGTGCTAATGTGGTATGGCAACTCGAACTGATATACGTACGTACGAAGCTCTATGTTGTTACTGACTGACTGGTTCTCGTCAGTTGCTTATAACTTGTGGTTCTTAGATATCATAATCACGAAATGGGTTTAAATTACTGACATGATATGGTTTAGTTAGAAGATACCTTGAAGACATATCAGTGTAGCATATATAGAGCAAAGGTGTCCGTAATTTGAATAGACTGAATCAATTATAAGAGGAAATCAAATTATCAAACTTACCTGAAATAAATAAAAATAAAAACAGACTAAACAAATGGAAACAGGACAATATTATATACAAAGTGATTAACAGCACAGTAGAAAACAATCTTAAAATGTGTATAGCTCATACAAAGAGCCAACTACAAACGGATATCCAAGAACTCAATGAGCAACTGCTCAATAGCTATTCAAATCTAGACAGATTTGTTAAATATAATTCTACTATCATTGAGAAAAGAGAGTTGATAATAAAATATGTAAATTAAAATTGCAACCGGTAATTTGCTACCAATAAAGAGATATATCGCCACTATAGTAATGATCATGGTAACAAACAAACGGAAATTATAAGAACAGATATTTACGTGTGCCCGATAAAAAATTGTCTAAAGCGATACAAAACTCAAGGATTACTTACAAGGACACCTAATTCATAAAAGATAACTGAAACGGAGATAGCGGAGTGGAATGAAGAAGATCATTCAGTTTTGATCAATCCGAATAAAAAGTAGGAAGAACAACACTCAGTAATTACGGACCACTTGTGAACCACGTAACAGTGATGTTGGCAGTTGTTTTGTACAGTAATCATATATATAAACTGATAGAATTCATTATCTGCGTTTTGGATTTCTTTGAAATACTATGAGTTTTTGCTGGTTTTTATTCTTTCCTTTACATGTTATAGTTTACCATTACCAGAATGAGTAAAGCTTCCACTTGAGTAGTATATATTTCTATCATAACTAACCTCATATTGGTTAACCGTTTGTAAAATGGCAATAAACATTTGTACTTGTTTTATTACAGGTTAAGTGTCTGTGTGTGTGTGTGTATGAATACTCATTCCCACGAAAACAGTATCATCATCAATGGGATGGGTACATAATCTGACTCATCGACGCACATGTACACACACATGCACATCTTGGCTTGTTGTTTGTACAACTTAGTCACCTTTATCTGATTATTTTAAATCTCAAATATAAGTTGGGCGTTGTCATATCAACATGTTTGGTGAATGTTTGAATATTAACCAATCATATGACTTCATACACAATATTTAGAATCAATTGAATCATTTAAACAAGTCATTTAATCGTATTTATCCCATCAATATTTGTTATTCCTCCATTATTATCTCGATATAGTTCTAATCTTCTTAATTTAAGCACTCACAGTTTTTGGTGTATTTTCAGTTGTTTATGGGTGACACTTATTCCAGGTCAACAAGTCAACAATTCTTCTACAAACAGATTGTTTAAGAAGGAAAATACAAGAACTATGCAAGGCTAGGACGACCGTCAACCTGTATTGACGAATACAACGATAACGTTTGTGTGTGTGTTTGTATGTAGATGGGCGAAAATATCGATAAATTCAAGTGCTTTAGTCCGACGGTTGTAATATAGTCTATACTTACTTACGCCTGTTACTCCTCGTGGAAGAACATAGGCCGCCCACCAGCACTCTCCATCCAACTCTGTCCTGGGTAATCCTTTCCAGCTCTTTCCAGTTGTTATTCATCCTTTTCATATCTGATTCTATTTCCCGACGTAATGTGTTCTTTGGCCTTCCTCTTTTCCGCTTCCCTTCACGTCCAAACTTAAATCTAGACTGGTGATATCGTCGTTACTAGGATGGTAATCACCGGACAAATTGTTGGCTTTTTTTTACCCATCATTAAACAATGATAACTGACTATTACCATTTTCAAAATTATTACCATTACTAGGCTACAAGTTTATGGATTGCAGATTGTGTGTCTGTGGTACATTTTTCATTGATGCGTGGGCGGGTATGGGACAATACATTTAAGTCACAATTGTTTTAATTTTATTCCCTATATGTTCACAATTGATAATCTCAACAACTAATGTGATTATAAAATGTTTAAAACAATATTTGATTGGCCTGGTTGTCTAATTTATTGTGTGAATGACCTATGTGGGTCATGATTGCATAGAATAATCAATTGTTGGCCGGTTTTATGCACTCTATAAATGGGTGTGTTTGTGTGTGACTATGGTTACTCATTACCTCGGTTTTGCCCAAGTTAACGAGGTAAATAGAATGACAACTGACTTTGCCAACTGTACATCAGTTATACCTATTGATTGATTGATGTGTGTTTACTACGCATTACTAATTATCTCGGTTACAAATTATGCTAAATCATAGAAGGATTATTTACTAATTTTCAAAATAAACTGTCAAATCCATTTGTAATCACTAATTTATTCATGTTAACTGTACAAAGATTCTTATTTGATTTCTGTATGATGTTATGGTTGGATGACAGATAATCTCATGAGTAATAATCCTCATCGAAGTTATCCCATTGATATAAATGAGCTTTGCCTCAGTTTTATCTTTGGTTCGCATCCTTTTCGTTAATCTAGTTGTTTCATGTTCCATTGCAATCACAAACCGATCAAAGTTAGCTACGAAACGTTGAAAATACAATTTTTCTAGTCATTGGGATTGGTTGAAGTTAAACATTGATACCGTTGGATGCCGGCTCAGTGGTCTAGTGGTTAAGCGCTCGCGCGCGAGACTGATAGGTCCTGGGTTCGAACCTCGCGGGGTGGTGTCGTGGATGCGCAATGCTGAGGCGTCCCACAATAGGACGAAATGGCCATCCAGTGCTTCCAGGTTTTCCATTGTGATCAAGCTTCAATTGACTCATGATCGCAACCATTGAAAAGTATATTTATTATTAAATGAAAATGATGATAACTACTACCAGTCGGTAGGATGACCATCTAAACCAATTGACATAATACTTATGGCATAATCAGAATATTAACTTCCAATGTCGTTGGACAAAACAAAAATGAAAGCTCTCACTGCTTACCTCAGTGGGCGATGTTGTTTGGTGTAGGAGTTAGCGGGAAGAAAGCTAGGGGGTTAAACCAAAACATAACACTAGTCCATGAAGTCAGTGATAATTGGATTGAGCTATGTTATTAGGTGTAGACTACTTAGTCGGAATCCACGTGATTATCGTGACCAATGGTTAGAGACTTTAAATGATATGGCTCAAAATAGTTTGCGATGGTACAGGTTCATCTATTCTTTGTCTACCTCCAAATTCTGAGCTTATAAATTCCTTATAACCTTTTTTGTGTTTTTATTTCACTAATTTATGTCTTGTTCTCGAATCATATGTTCAATGCCTAAGCTTTTCAATCATCATCACTATTCTTAGCTTTTACCTGACAATTTCATCTCTCTATGCTAATTTGGTATGGCAATTTGAACCATTGTACATACATACTAGGTTCTACGTTGTAACTGACTAAATTAAACATTCATTTAGTCAAAATAAAGCAGCACTATTAAAAAACTACACTTCTTCCTGCAAACATTCTATGTTAATACTCTATTGTTGTTGTTTTTTCTTCTTGATGATATTGACTACAGTTCTATTATACATTCTTTGTTTATAGAATCCTTCGAATATTAAAACTTATCAAGAAACAACAATGAAACATATTTCATTACCAATAACAACCAACACATCAATAATTGGTGGTTCGTCTGTGACAAAAAAATTTACATCAAAGAAAAACACTCAAACATCAAATACTCTCTTGACTACTAATTACAATAAATCTATGAATAAAGATGATACAGATTTATTATTCGATGATATCAAATTCAATGTGATCTCTGAATCAAATGTTAGTTGGTATTTTGTTTTAAAAATTTTACTACTTATTTGAAGCATTTTAGTCATGAATAAATATGGTAATAGTAGTAGTAACTAGATCATTAATGTTCTAGTTGTCATTACAATTTGGGATTTAACACCAACATAACTCAGATCAAAATTTGTAACGTTATCGATCGATCAGTCAGTGGTCTTGAGTGCTGTTAGAGGTATGAGGGCGGTTATCACTCCCTGGTTGATCACACCGTGGAACGGTTCTTCTAGAGGTACCTAAAAAGGAAGTTGTATTAGAGGTGGTCTTAGTGACCTGGGAGCGTGACCGCAGTGCCCAAGAGACAACTGATTGAGGTCGGCCACACACGACCTTCTTATGGGTAATTTTCGTGTTAGCTCCGTACTTGTTGAGACCTTACCGCCGGAGACGGACATCCGTGGGATAAGGCGAGGTGTTCATTTTTAAGGTCAACCTTTTCTAATCCCATCCCTCCTTGTGGGACGGCAGCATCGCTGTTATGCTGGTTGTCTGAAGGAAACATCTTACTGCTGTCACACCTCTGTACAGTGAGCAGTACGACTTCGCCTTCGGACCTTGGGTTTGTTGCTTTTAGTCTTACCGCTCTTCAACCGACCTGTCTGACATGGTAGGACCTTGAGAAACATTTATTCGAGCCAGTATAGTTCGATTGGTTCATTACGATAGGCAAGCCCGACCACCACGTCAAGGTAGCAACAACGTTTGGGCATCGATCGATCTTACGTATTGATTTACCCACCCCTAACATTTTTTTCAGATTATTCTTTTACTGGCCATCATTATACATCATGGCAATCATGAGTGACTTGTGCCCTAAACAACTCAATAGGTTAAGGTGTGTTGTTGCTACCTTGACGTGGTGGTCGGGCTTGCCTATCGTGATGAAGCAACCGAGCTATACTGGCTGGAACAACCGTTCCTCAAGGTCCTACCATGTCAGACAGGTCGGTTGAAGAGCGGTAAGACTAAAAGCAACAAACCCAAGGTCCGAAGGCGAAGTCGTACTGCTGACTGTACAGAGGTGTGACAGCAGTAAGGTGTTTCCTTCAGACAACCAGCATGACAGCGATGCTGCCTTCCCACAAGGAGGGGTGGGGTTAGAAAAGGTCGACCCTAAAAATGCACACCTCGCCTTATCCCACGGATATCCGTCTCCGGCGGTAAGGTCTCAATAAGTACGGAGCTAACACAAAAATTACCCATAACAAGGTCGTGTGTGACCGACCTCAAGCAGTTGTCCCTTGGGCACTGCGGTCACGCTCTCAGTTCACTAAGACCACCTTTAATCCAATTTCCTTTTCAGGTACCTCCAGAACAACCCTTCCACGGTGTGGGCAACCGGGAAGTGATAACCGCCCTCATACTTCTAACAGCACTCAAGTCCACTGTATTCATAATCAACCTCCTTCTTCAATTCCTATTATTCCTCCTACATCGACTTTCAACTCTGTATTTCCTCTCTCGGCTTCCACCTCAAGTGTCACCGTAGCCAACGATTCTAGTGCGCAAAACACTGTCCCAGGTCTACTGAAACCTCGCTCCAAACTACACATTGGAGCCTTCAACGTACGCACCCTATGTCAAATCGGTCAGCAGGCTTCCTTGGCTAAAACCCTAGAGTCTCTTTCCATTGATGTATGCTGTGTCTCCGAAACACGCATACAGGATTCCAGTGTGGTCATTCACTTGACCTCACCTCGGCAAGACGGAGAGCCAACGAGATACACCCTTCGTGTGTCCGGTGACCCGATGGCAAGTTCTCGTGGACTGGCAGGTGTAGGCATAGCACTAAGCATAAGGGCCGAACAAGCACTGCTAGAGTGGATCCCCGTCAACAGTCGTCTATGTGCTGTTCGGCTGAACGGCTACGTAAGAACTCGGAAGGATAGGGACACACGTCGTTGCCTTTTTGTCGTTTCTGCCTACGCTCCCACTGACTGCAGCTCAGATGAAGTGAAAGATGAATTTTACAGAAAGCTGTCCGAACTTCTTCAGAAAGCTAAACGCTCAGACATAGTACTCGTAGCAGGTGATTTTAATGCTCAGATAGGCAGTTTAAACCAAACAGAAAGGCATTTAGGTGGATATTTTAGTATTCCGACACAGCGAACAGATAATGGTGATCGTCTGCTGCAGCTATGCTCAGACAATCGTTTATTTTTAGCAAACACAAATTTTAAGCATAAGGAGAGACATCGTCTAACATGGCGACCCCCTACACCAAACCAACGATGGACTCAAATAGACCATATTGCCATCAGTCATCGTTGGAGAGGGTCGGTAGAAGATTGTCGTTCATTCTGGAGCACCTGCTTGGACTCCGACCATGCCCTAATACGGGCACGCATCTGCTTGCGCCTCAATGGACGCAAAAAAGCCACATTAAAAAGACCCATTAGAACTGAGTTGAGTAACGAGAAAACCAAAAGTAGGTTCCAGGAACAACTGAGGTCACACTTAGTTAGTTGTGAAGACGAGGCTGACCCAGATGTTGCTTGGAAGGACATACAAGCAGCTGTGGAAACAGCAGTGACATCTGTTAGTGACTTAAACCACAGAGTTACAAGGAACCAGTGGATTTCTTCAAGGTCTGTCACACTGATGGATTCTCGCAAACTCGTCCCATCAGGTTCTGAACATGATGAAGAGCGTAAACAAATCAGATCTAGGTTAAGAAAAAGTCTAAGGAACGACCGTGAGCAGTGGTGGGTAACGAAAGCAAAAGAGATGGAAAAGGCGGCGACTATAGGGAACACAAGACAGCTTTACAGACTAATAAAAGAAACTGGAACTAATAAGTCAAGTGTAAGTGAGATTATTTCGGAAAAAGATGATACTCTCATCTGCTCCCAGTCCAGACGTTTAGAACGATGGGCGGAACATTTTAGAGAACAGTTCAGCTGGCCTTCAGCTACTCTACAACTACCCTCCATTCCCAGACAATGTGAATGGAACATTGAAGTAGGTCCCCCAACTCTTGCTGAAGTTGAGAAGGCTATAGTTAATCTGAAACGAGGAAGGGCAGCTGGTCCAGATGGATTGGCTCCAGAGGTCTTTAAGGATGGTGGTCCAATTTTAGCGACTAGGTTGACTAATATTTTAGCTAAAATCTGGGAGTTAGACGTTATCCCATCTGACTGGTCGCAATCACTTATCGTCCCAATATATAAGAAAGGGTCAAAATCATCCTGTGACAACCACAGAGGGATTAGTTTAACAAACATAGTATCTAAAATACTGGCCTCGATAATTATCAAACGCCTAACTAAGACTCGTGAACTACAAACACGAGAGAACCAAGCTGGCTTTAGACCTGGTCGTGGCTGCATCGACCACATATTCACCATTCGTCAGGTTCTAGAACACAGGCATACCTATCGGCGTCCGACGATGGTGGTCTTTCTTGACTTAAAAGCAGCATTTGACTCTGTAGACCGCGAGACTCTGTGGCAGTGTCTGTCATTGAAAGGCGTACCTCAGAAGTACATAAACCTTGTGAAGGCTCTTTACTCGAACACTACTAGTCGAGTCAGGGCTTATGGCGAACTGTCATCTACTTTACAACCTCAAGTGGTGTCCGTCAAGGCTGCCCACTTTCTCCATTTTTGTTTAACTTCATCATAGACCTATTGATGGAAATAACACTCTCGTCGACTGAATTCTCGGGTATTGATCTCCTTCCAGGAGGTCCACTTATCGACTTAGAATATGCAGATGACATAGTCCTGTTTGGTGAAGACGCTGACAAAATGCAGAGTCTTCTGGTAGCACTAAGCAACAATGCCAGAATGTTTGGGATGCGCTTCTCTCCCTCTAAATGCAAGTTGTTGCTTCAGGACTGGTCTGCGTCAACACCTGAACTAAGGATAGGGAGTGAAGTAGTCGAACGCGTTGACAACTTCACTTATCTTGGAAGTCTGATCAGCCCTAATGGGTTGGTGTCTGACGAAATCTCAGCACGGATTCGTAAAGCTCGTTTGGCTTTTGCCAACTTACGTCACCTTTGGCGGAGGCGAGATATCCGTCTATCAATAAAAGGACGAGTATACTGCGCGGCTGTCCGTTCTGTTTTAATTTACGGCAGCGAAACATGGCCCTTAAGAGTAGAAGACACCCGTAAGCTACTAGTATTTGACCACAGATGCCTTAGAAATATTGCTGGCATCTGCTGGGATCACCGGGTAAGTAATAGTGAGGTTAGACGCAGGGTATTAGGGAATGATGGTAAATCAGTTGATGAGGTTATGAATCTTCATCGACTGAGATGGTTGGGCCACGTATTACGTATGCCTGAACACCGATTACCGCGACGTGCAATGCTAACCGGTGTAGGGGATGGTTGGAAGAAAGTTAGGGGCGGCCAAACCAAAACGTGGCATCAGTGCCTGAAGTCACTAACTTCTAGTCTGAGCCATGTTGGTAGATGCAGACTACTTGGTTGGGGTCCGCGTGACTTTCGTAACCAATGGTTGGAGACCCTTGGTGACATGGCTCAGAATCGATCACAATGGCGTCGGTGTATACACTCTCTGTCTTCTCTTAAACTAAGAGATTAAGATCACTTCACATCTTTCTTTCTACGAACTAATTCTTTCTTCCTATACTATATCCTTATTGCAATCTTTCTCCTATATATTACCACCTTTGACCTAACCACTCCTATGAATCCAGTGTTCATCTTGCTGTGCTAATGAGGTATGGCAACCTGGACCGATGCACATATGTGCCTGGTCCTACGTTGTAGCTGACTGACTGACTGATTTCATGATTTAACTCATCTTATGCACTTCATCAAGGCTGATACGGTCTGTAAGACTAGTTGACTGGTCGACCTCTTTGACTACTTGTACATTAACGTAAAGAGAAACATATCTTAAAAATTCTTGCATTCTTATTCATAGAATTCAAGACACTGTATTTTGTCAGCAACTTTACACTATTGAAATATGTCACGTGTGTGCTCTAAATCTCTTAGTTATGAAAATCAATCCTTGAAAAGTCAGATAAATATAAATAGCATATTGTTATTTCAATACATATTTAGTTATTTAACAACATTGTAAAGTTGATTAGTAGATTTCATTTTGGGATCGTGGAGATTGTTGAATTCCATTGAACTCATGAGCCGATTAGTATAAAACCATCATCGAAAATCTGGAAGCATTGTAGGGCCATTTCGTTCTAGTATGGGACTTAGCAGTGCTCGTCCACGATCCGACACGCGGGATCTTAACCGTGTCAAGTATGAGGCAGCTACCCACCGAAGATAATAGAAGATGCTTGCGTAACATCGTGGATTGGTTGAGATTAGACATTAACGTCGTTGTATACCGGCCCATAGGTCTTGAGCTTGAGCGTTCGCATGAAAGATTGTGGATGCGTACTGCCGAGGTCTCCCATACTAGGATAAACAACCGTCCAGAGCTTCCAGGTTTTCCATGGTGGTCTAGCTTCAGTTGACTCATGAGTTCAACTATAAAATTACTAAAAAAAATCTCCACAAAACCCCTTCTGATAATAATCATCGTATGCTCACTAGTGACTGGCTGCAAGAGGTATTGAGATGGTGGAGATTTGTAGCTCAGGTAGATGTTTTGATGGAGTTTCGTTCTCCGAGCTGGATGGTTTGGTCGTGGAGTTTGTGTTGATGATGTCGTTCAGAAGAATGACCAAACCATCCAGCTATGAGAACGAAACTGCAAGAGGTATTTCTTGGAGTTCTAGTAAGAATCCGTGACCAGTGAAGTTCAACTGGGTCAGTTGTGAGATATTAACCCACTAATGATAATGGTGGACGGTGGCGCAACTTCGTGGATTGGTCGATGGTAGACATTAACACCGCTGGATGCCGGTCGGCTCAGTGGTTTAGAGTTTAAGCGTTCACGCGCAAGATTGTGGACGCTCACTGCCGAGGAGTCCCATATTAGGATAAATATCCATTCAATGCTTCCGAGTTTCCAAAAATGATCTAACAGTAATCGGTTCATAATTTCAATCATAGATTTTATCAGATGGGTTAAATAAATTTTCTTCTTTAAGAACTAAACAATTTAACATTCACTGGTTGAAATCATGAGTCAATTGAAGCTAGACCACCATGGAAAACCTGGAAGCACTGGACGGCCGTTTCGTCCTACTATGGGACTCAGCAGTGCACATCCACCATCCCGCCCCTCGCGAGATTCGAACCCAGGACCTATCAGTCTCGCACCAGGCGCTTAACCAACTAGACCACTGAGCCGGCATCCAACGGTGTTAATGTACTAACTTCAACCAATCCACGAAGTTGCGCCACCGTACACCTAGCTTCAATTGACTCATGATTTCAACCAGTGAAATTTCTAAAATCTCCAGAAAACCCATTCTGAATTTAACATTCATTATTCTGAACATAGACTACTGCTATACAAAATGATTGGAATTATACATGAATTCAATAGGATAGGTTTCTGCAAATGTTATAAATAAAACCATATTACATAATAGTTAATCAATATTTTTCGTGAAATATACATTACATTCGACAAAGTTGTCTATTCTATTCAAGTTGATTTATTAGTCTATTTGAAAGACACATATCATGTATACTCTGATGAAAAAAATGTTTTATAGTTTCATAGTTTTATTTCACATAAAATAACAAAGATTAGAACTAAATTCAGTTAGTCAATATGTACTGTTACCATGTATTTCTTTTCTCATCATCTTAGTTCAAGGTATCTAAACTTGTAGGATACGTTTCCATTGTAATTACTTAATCTTTGTTTGTATGTCACATAGACGAATAGATTTATTGTTATGTTAACTGAATAAAATCAATGATAATAACTAGTAGGGTAGGGGGGGGGAGGTTGAGACAAAATATGATAATCATTCCTTTTGTTCATTTAGTTCTGATTCTATGCATTACTGTATTTCTGATTTACTTTGTCTCCCTATCTTACTTCCTCCCTTCCTCTCTCTCTACCGAATTTGTCTAATTACGAAATGAATGGTTGTTTTTTCTCTATATATACATTGAATGACTAGGTCTGTATACAAAGATATACAATATTTGTAGTTAGGTTCATTATAGAAGTTTATTTTATTTAGAAAGAAAAAAAAAGAAAACTTTTCATTGACCTTGATTTGAAGACATTTACAATTTGTAACAAACATTCTTGTTTAAAATAATAAATTTCTAATAGTTGAGATCATGAGTAGTCAATTGAAGTTAGACCACCATGAAAAACCTGGAAGCACTGGACGGCCATTTCATCCTAGTATAGGACTCCTCAGTATTCAGTGAGCATCAACGATCTCATCTAGCGAGATTCGAGTCCAGGACCTATCAGTCTCGCGCGTGAGCGCTTAACCATTAGACCACTGAGCCGGCCGGCATCCAATGGTGTTAATGTCTAACTTCAACTAATCCATGAATTTGAGCGACACATCCACCATTGTCTTCTATTCTAAATTTATAAATGATGATTGCATAGTAATAGTTAATTATATTTTACTTTTCATAGATTGTAATAAGTAGTAGTTAGTTAAAATATTGGGTTATATTTTAATTTTCCCATCCCTATGCATACATTGTAGAACTTGAGGAAAAAATGTGTTGAATTCATGGGTCGGTGTAAGCTAGACCACCATTGAAAATCTGGAAAACAGTAGTTAGGAGGTTATGTGTTCGTGTGCGAGACCAAATGTCCTATGATCAAGTCCTAAGTGTGGGATCGTGGATGCACACTGCTGAGGAGTTCCATACTAGAATGAAACGGTCGTCCAATGCTTCCAGGTGTTACATAGTGGTCTAGCTTACATGGACTGATGAATTGTACTATTAAAATTACTACAATCTCTGCAAACCCCCATTCTGGAAAAAATATGTCACATTATTACAATGAAAATGAGTGAAGGTAGGTTAAATGTGAAAAAGAAATGACCTAAAAATGGTGATATTGTTAAGACTATGGTTCAAATCGATTAATAGAAAGTAATATTAACAATTAATATTTAGAAAAACAGGCCGAACAAATGCATCTGCGATCGGGCTTTTTTGAAGTCTTCAACTGTTGATCATGGTTATCGCTTTTACTCTGACTTGATAGTTAAAACTTTCCTTCAACCTTCTTATATTCTAGTCAGTATTTCATACCGTGTTATAGATAGTTAAGTATGGGCAAAACGTTTCCTGATCCCTTCAGTTATTGATGCCTATGGTATCATGGACCAGTTTACCTTGTTTGCTTAGTACTCTAAGGGTGACCAAATTAATACATCACCACTAGTCCATGAAACCATTCAAAATTTGATAGAGCCATGTTAATAGGTGTGGACTACTTAATTGGGATCCACATGATTAGCTTAACCGAAGGTTAGTAACTTGGAATGACATGGCTCTGAATATCATGCAATAGTGCAGGTGTATTTACTCTGTGTTGCATTTCAGGATCTTGATTTTTCCCTTGTGTATGTTGAGGCCTACTGATGCAGATGCTGCTGCTACATTGGCTGTCTGCACCTGAATTTGTTGGTGTGTATGGGATAGAAGGGCCAGGTCATCTGTGAAGTCCGAATCGTTCAGTTGCATCCAACGTGTCCATTGTATTCCGTGCTTCCCCTTGAGGTGTGGAGTTCTTCCTGATCCAGTCAACCACCAGAACAAAGAGAAAGTGGGAGAGTAGGCAGTCTTGTCTGACACTGGTCTTCACTTGGAATGTATTTGTCAGCTGTACTCTATGCACCACTTTGCACAGTAGTCGGTCGTATGATGTTGATGATTTTCCATAATGTTCTCCTATCCACACTGTCAAACGCCTTCTCATAGTCAATGAAGTTTATGTATAGTGACGAGTTCCATTCAATTGATTGTTCAACAATGATCCATAGTGTCGCAATTTGGTCTGTACACTACTGATCCTTAAGGAATCCGGTCTGTTAATCTGAAAGCTGGGCGTATATTGAATCTTTCATCCGGTTCAACAACATTTCTGAAGAGTCCTCTGCTAAGACAAAATGAAATGCCCAATGTCACTTAACTTTCAATGGTTTTTTAACTAGTCTTCTGTTAGATGAATACATTTTTCACTAACATCTCACTTTATACTACTTGATTGTCAGATTCCATGCTAACTATTCACAAGTAGTTTGATGTTGCATTTGTAACTTGTAACTGCTGTCTCACTACAATCTTGTTTTTATATTTACCAGGGGTTAGATTTAGGCTCATCATTACTAGATGAAGTATTCAAATGTTTCCCAATAGAAAAATCTACTACCAGTGACAATATGAATCATAATGCTGATGGTGCTAAAAAGTTAAATGGTGTGACTACTACAACTACTGCCATTACTACTAATAATGGTGATATTAAAGGTCATTCTAATTGTGACGATTCGCTCCAAATGAATGGTTCTACAAGGTGAACTTTTTATTTCGTAATTTAATGTTTGGTTTTTCGTGTTTATTTTATCCAAATTTAGGTTAATTTTAGACCATTTATACTATTTAAATTGACATATGCATATATTTCATCAAGTGTACTAACTATTAAAAATGAACGTGAATTACTGGTTTGCTAAATTGTGTTAAGTACTAGGGACTAGTGTGTCATCTTAGTTTTTAGGGCTTCGTAAAAGTGTCTATTCATAACCTTCAAGATACTCATGATGAGTATGATGCAATTTTTTCACAGCATTCAACTTCCATGTACTATGATCCTCATAGGGTTTTTTTCTCTTGTGTTCTTATCTCCCTTGTGGATTGATAGGCCCTAACAACTAATGGAAAAGATTATATAAATTTGTGAATGTACGATAGATCAACTTGATTGATGTGAATAGTATGACCGTGTGTCAATTAACACAGAGCTGGTGATCAATATCTGAAGGGGTTTTGTGGATATTATAGTAATTTTATTAGTTGAGATCAAGAGTCAATCGAAGCTAGACCAACATGGAAAACCTGGAAGTACTGGACGGCCGTTTCGTTCTGTTGTGGGACTCCTCAGCAGTGCGCAACCACGATCCCACCTCGCGAGATTCGAACCCAGGACCTATCTAGTGAGAAGCAGTGACCAGTGGAGTTCAACCGGGTCTGTTGTGAGATAGTGACTCACTGAAGACAATGGTGGATGTGTCGCTCAATTTCCCGGATTAGTTGAAGTTGAAGCGTTCGCACGCGAGACTTATAGGTCCTGCGTTCGAGTCTCGTGAGGCGGTATCGTGGATATGCACTGCTGTGGAGTCCCACAATAGGACGAAACGACCGTCCAGTGCTTTCAGGTTTTTCATGGTGATCTATCTTCAATTGACCCATGATCTCAACTATTAAAATTTCTAATCAACAGATGTCAAAAAAGCAGAACTCTATCAGTCAGCGATGAGAGATGTTCACTTTTTCTAGAAATATAATACACGTTTTTTAAAGATTATTGTACATAAAACAATAAATGTGATTAAATACCATGTAAAATATAAATGACTGTAAGATACATGTTTCTATGTAGGTTCTACACATAAGTTAACAAAATCTGAAACTTAAATCTTATCAAGCTTATTTCTTATCATTCATATAACATTCTACACAAAATACCATCGAATCTTTATTACGGTTGTTATAACGGGATAAATATTGAAAATGTTGTAACTTTCAGACTTATTTTTCGGATTATTATTCATATTTTCATTATATAATGAGTAAATAACTGCATTGTTGCCTTCTATCCTCTTCGTATTGTATGGTTTCAGTATACCTGTCGACTGTTGTTATGCTTTTCACTATTTTCCAATTATTGTTAAGTATTTATATACTATTTACTGCTCCCCTACCACTTATGATATGATTGTATCTAAAGTATGATTTCTTATTTGATGTGTATCCCAAGTACTTTAAGCGTACTATTGTATAAACTTTGTATCATAGTTGGACTGAATACAGTAGATAAGTAATGTCCTTACTATCTATGTCTTTTGATTGATTACTGAGTTAGAAGGCGCTCAATAACCAATAAGCATTAAAGCCTCTCCTTGTGGTTTATCGGTTTGCATATAAAGTCGTGATATAAAAGGTCGCTGGTCCTACTGGCCATGTAAGTGAATTTTTCAATAATCGGAGTTCAAATTGGGCAAATATAACATGTGATACTGACCAGTATTTCAAGCCACCATAAATTGGCGATCATAAAACACAACAATGGTATCAATAGCATTTCGATATTCTCGCAATTTAATGGTGTTCTGTAGACATGATAATATTGTGACATTTTAGGTACTTCCCAACAGTTGTATAAATCTAGCATGTAAGTGTAGTCACCATTAGGTTTCTTTCCAATAGATTTGGATTCTGAATACATACTGTTCAAATCTTTTAAGTTCAGCGAATTGCTTTGCCTTTGCTAATGTTAAACTAATAATTCGTGTGAGTTCATCAGTTCATTACTCGTATGTTTTGTCTTTTGTCGCATTGATGATATAACAGCAACATGTAGAATTTAAATATGATGTTTGTGTTATAATCCATGGTGGAATCAAATTTATTCCTGCATTACTGATTGAAAACGGTTCTCATAATTTGACTGACTAAACAATTCAAAACCTCCTTTCACCAAAATGTTATGATGCTCATCTTTATAACATTGTTTGAGGATTCACCTCACTGGCAGGAATAGAAACCATTGGTTATCATCAACTCATTGACTTAACAGTGCCATACTCGTTGATAAAAGTGAAGATTTTTGGGTTCAATTTTATGTTACGTTATGAGCTTGCTCACATTCTATTTTTCCATTTTTTTTAAAATATATTCTAGGTCGAATTCAATTGATTATTTAAACAAAGAATCCCACTAACCAACAATACCATATTTAGTCAAACATCAGATTTGATTGAACATGGTAAACATTTATCAAAATCAAATGGATTTCGTATTCCTTCTTTAATAAACAAAATTAATCGTTTGGAAATATCGATGCCATCTACTACTAATACTACTAGTACTACAGCCGCCACTACTATTACTACTGACAATTATATAAGTAATAATAATTATGAACAAGTCAATGATGAATTAAATGATTCAACTTACACTGATAATACAATCATTAATGATAATCCTGTTGCTGTTGTTGATGATGACAATGATGGTGATGACAATAATAATCATCATCGTCATCATCTTGAAAAGATGAAAATGGATAATAATGTTAATAATAATAAAACAGAATCAAAATTTTCATGGAAACGTAGTTCATTTAGTAGTTTAACACATCGTAGTTCATCAATATCAAAAGCATTAAATAAAACTAATATTATTAATGGATTTAATCAATTAGATAATGAAAATAATAATGATAATAAACGATTAACAATTAGTAGACCAATTTTATTAAGTCGACCAAATTCAGGTAAGTTTGGATATTTTTTTCTTTTCTTTTCTAGTTTTATTAACTTTTGATAGAACAAGATTAGTAATGTATAAACTATTAAGTTTCTAGTTTTTTACCATTTCCTACAAACGGAAAGCATAAGGTGTAAATGATAAAAGTAGCTGTACTTTAGGATATAGATATCTTGGACTAATTGTTTTTGTATGGTGAAATGATCAAATGAGTCATTGATTTATATAGTTTTGCATCCTTGTTGAATAAAGTGGTTGGAATATGTGTTACGTATGTTCAACCACTTCCTACCTTGATTTCAAATGTTAGATGGAGTACGTATGAGTTGGAAAAAAGCTAGAGATGATCAAACAAAACCATACCGTGCGTTCATGAAATTAGTGGCTGAGGTTCTACATGTCACATGGCTCAAAATCATTCACAGTTGTACAAATGCATTCTTATCTATCTTGATCTAGATCTTGGTTTCTAGTACCTCTTCAAACATATCTTATTGAACCACATTTTCAATAGAGTCAGTCTTGATCATGATCATCGTTACAACACTATATCACATTCCTCATTACATTTTTTAAAATTTCATTTCATTATGCTAATGTGTTTTAAAAACGTGGGCTATCGTACATTTGTGCTGGGTCCCTTTGTTGGTTATAATTGACGGTTTTTAAAAGCGATGCCTATTATAGGAATATACATGATATTGAGGTTCTAGAAGCTCTTGAATAATACACTAGCCTTGTTGACAAATTCCATAATTATCAAATCAGAATGAAGGAGGTCTAATCAGTCGTTTTCTGAATGTTTTTAATTGGTTAGAATTCAAATAATTCCATCTGCTATATGAAAGTTAGGGGCGGCCAGACCAAAACGTGGCATTAATGCTTGAAGTCACTAACTTCTGGTCTGAGCTATGTTGGTAGATGCAGACTACTTGGTTAGGGTCCACGTGACTATCGTAACCAATGATTGGAGACTCTTGGTGACATGGCTCAGAATCGATCACAATGGTGTGGGTGTATACACTTTCTGTCTTCCTTCAAGCTATGAGATTAAAATCGCTTCATATCTTTCATTCTACCAAGTAATTCTTCCTTGCTATACTATATCCTTATATGCAATCTTTCTTTTATATATTACCACTATTTAACTAACTACTATGAATTTGGTGTTCATGTTGTTGTACTAATGAGGTATGACAACTTGGACCGATGCATGTATGTGCTTAGTCCTACACTGTAGCTGACTGACTGACTAATCTGCTACATGAATGAAGAATATTCTTTTCAGTAAACTCTCAAGTTATACAATTACATATCCACACTAATGATCCGAAAAGTTCTCAGATTTTTTAAGGAAAGTAAGTTGGTTAAAATTATACTATACAAATTAAAAATAATCATCTTAACTATTGAATGACCTAATTTGACTAATGTATCCAAAACCTTTCTTAGTCAGATATTGTTGTCTCTATTATTTTCATTCAGAAATCGTTGTATTATTATTATTATTATTATTGTTATTATTATTATTATTATTATTATTATTATTATTATTATTATTATTATTATTATTATTATTATTATTATTATTATTATTATTATTATTATCGGTTTAACATCACGATTAATCTCTCAATTACATGATTCATCTACTTAACACTCACCTCGACCTTATTATTTTCTACTGATTTCATATGAATGTTTACACGCTAAACATTTGATCTAATGCGTATTTACATTATTATTTCTCTCAACCTATCTGATTCCATATTCATTCTGATCATGAATCTTAAAATTTCATTTAATGTATAAACCGATTCAAGTTAACATTGCATATAAGTCATCCTAGTTAGTCAGTCAGTTAGCTACAACATAGGATCGGGCACATATATGCATCTGTCCAAGTTGTCATACCTCAGTAGTACAACAACATGAACACCAAACTCATAGAAGTAGTTAATTCAGTGGTAGTAATATATAAAAGAAAGGTTACATGTAAGGATATAGTACAGGAAGAAAGAATTAGTTGATAGCAAGAAAGATATGAAGCGATTTTAATCTCTTAGTTTAAGGGAAGACAGAAAGTGTATACACCCACACCATTGTGATCGATTCTGAGCCTTTTCACCCACAATCTCCAAACACTGGTTACGATAGTCACGCCGACCCGAACTAAGTAATCTGCATCTACTAAAATGGCTCAGACCAGAAGTTAGTGACTTCAAGCATTGATGCCACGTTTTGTTTTGTCCGCCTCTAACTTTCGTCCAACTATCTCCAACACCCGTTAGCACTGCACGTCGTTGTAGTCGGTGTTCAGGCATACGTAACACGTGTCCCAACCATCTCAGTCGATGAAGATTCACAACCTCATAAACTGATTTACCATCATTCAAACATTATTTCATTTTATAATTCTAAATTCAGATACTTTAACTTTAAACAATGCACTTTGCCCTTAATCTGCCCATTTGAATATATAATTTTAGAACCTGAAGAGAATTTATTTCAAATAAGAGAATATTTTAAACAAATCTATCTGAAATTTTTAATCTTGTACTTTTAGTAACTAATTTTTGTATTTCAATATCGGTTCATTTTTTTTGTCTGGTAATTAGTTCTAAAAGCAATACATATAATTAGTTAATAGTTTCATGTATATCATAGACATTAACCATTACTGCTACTACTACTACTACTGCTGATTAATGAACATTATCGATCAAATTAGATGATTATATCCTGTTACTTATACTACTTGCCAATTATCCATGTTATTTCGAACAATCTTTATCGATACGATCACTTTTCTTTTGTCTCGTTATTACGTATAGTTTTTTCTTTTGAATTTGTAACTGTCTACAAATTTTCCTCCCTTCCCTTTACACATTTACACACACACACATACGTACACATCATTCTATGCATCATTACTTTCTCTTTTTCTTTGTTCCCATATCACCACCCAGTTAAAATAACAGAAACAATAATAATAAACAAATATAAAAGCATGATTTTGGAGTAGATAAAGAGAAATTTTATTCATTATTTCGAAAATGTAATAAGAAGACGATGATCATCAGAACTATGTGATGATATATTAGCGCAATACATTTCGAACAATCTAATCACACACTTGTTTAGAACATTTATATATATAAAAAAAGTAAAAGGTCAACTAGACTAGAAATGGGGTAAAAGGAGACAAGGATGATAATAATAAGAGTAATGATAATAATGTGAACACAATTTAAAACCTAATCACTCTGGATAATAAGTCAATATTGCCAGGGTAGGTGTTTAAGGTGAGAACAAACGGGGTTTGAATTTTCGTATGGCTAAGGCTTCAATAAACCTTAGTATATACACCCCTTTTACACTTTTACACGACACCACAAAAGCCGAATTAATATCAATCCTTATGGCCTGTTTCGATTATATGTTTAGCAATAGAAGATAATGGGTGTTTATCCTCTACTCTTATTCATTATTTTCAAAACCCACTCGTATATAGCTGTCTACAATGTGTTACTTTTTTTGTAAATCTTTAATTCATTTATGTATATTGAATTTTGTTCATTCTAATTCTTATCTTTTTCTGGTATATTTGTAAGTAACAATTAATTGAGAATTGTTGTGTTAATTATCTGAACGACTAGTGGATTATGAATATCACTGTATATTGCGTATGATTTTTGTGTGGAATCTCTAGTGCTTTCAGGTTTAACATAATGGTCTAGCTCTAATCGATTCATGAATTCAACTATTAAATTCCTAATTCAATTGAATCTAGACCACCATGAAAAATCTGGAAGCATTGGATGGCCATCTCGTACTAGTATGCGAATCAGCAGTGCACATCTACGACCCCACCTCGCGAGATTTGAACCCATGACGTATCGGTTTCGCGAATCTTGCGAGGCTAAATGCGCACTGCTGAGGAGTTCCATACTAAGATGAAACGGTTGTCCAGTGCTTCCACGTTTTTCATGGTGGTCTAGGTTCAATTGACTCATGAATTCAACTATTAAATTACTATAATATCCACAAAACCTCTCTGATTAAATTCCGTTCCAGCCATATTTCCTTATTTTAGTTATGCTACTTATGAGTAGTGAAAAATATCAATTTAAAATAAACGTTGAGTTGTGTGCTAGGAAACTTCGTCAATTGAGATAGCCGGGACACGTGTTACGTATACCCAATCACTGACTGCCTCGACCTGCGACGTTTTATGGTATAGGAGTAGGTTGTAAGAAATCTAGGGGCGACCAGACCAAAACATGGCACAAATACATCAAGTCACTGATAAGTGGACTGAGCCATGTTGGTAGGTGTACACTACCTGATTGGGATCCGCGAGATGATAGCAACCGATGGTTAGAGACCTTGAATGACATGGCTCAAAATGGTTTGCAATGGCGCAGGTGCATCCATTCTTTGTGTTCTCCCGAATTCTAATCTTCTGAATTCTTCATTTCCCTTTCTTTTTTTTCTCTTTCCAAATTTATATAACTGTATTATACTCCTTGAAAAACATCTTCAAACCCTAATGTTTCTGATTACTACTTATACTTTTACTACCTCTACCATTATGGGATTTGAATCTACAACTGCATCTCTGTGCTAATGTGGTGTGGCAACTCGAACTGATGTACGTACGTATGAAGTTCTACGTTGTTACTGACTGTGTATTAGGGAATTTATAAATATTATCGGAGAAATTGAAGTCATATTATGGTAGAAGTAATACATTTGTGTGTTGTTATTATTGGTATTATTAGTTTTAGTATTTAACAGACAAAATATCCCGTTAAATATAAGTGTTTTAAGATTGCATCATGAAGTGATGACATTATTCTAAAAATATATAACAGTAGTAATAGTTTTATTTAATACTAGTGGGAAGCCGTTACCAGTGGAGTACAACCAGGTCTGTTGTGAGATATCAGCTCACTGAAGACAATGGTATATGGTGGCGCAACTTCGTGGATTGGTTGAAGTTAGACATTAACACCGTTGGATGCCGGCTCAGTGGTCTAATGGTTAAGTGCTCGCGCGCGAAGCCAATAGGTCCTGGGTTCGAGCCCCGCGTGGTGCGGGATAGTGGATGCGCACTGCTGAGGAGTCCCATACTAGGACGAAAAGGCCGTCCAGTGCTTCCAGGTTTTCAATGGTGGTCTAGCTTCAACTGACTCATGATTTCAATCTGTGAAAATTTCTACGAATCTCCACAAACCCCTTCTGTTAATACTATGTGTTTAATGTAGTAAAAAACTTATGGTCTGAAATGTTTCGTGAAATATCTCCTTCTGTATATATGTACCTCAGAATGTATTCATTTAAAAATGGCAAAGAAAGTTGGCTGGTTTTATATTCTCTGAGTTAGACAGTTTGATTGTTGAAACCATGATCCGATCTTAGTTAAATCACCATTGAAAACCTAGAAACATGGGACAGCCGTTTGTTTCTAGTATGGGACTCTTTGGCAGTGCACATCTACGTTTTTCACGCGTGACCCTAACCCATGGAAGACAATGGAAAATGGTTTTGCGATGTTCTGGATCGATTTGAGTTAGACATTGACATCGTTGGATGTTTGCCCAGTCAGTGGTCTAGAGGTTGCGCATCTGAGAGCGAGGCCTAATATCCTGGATTCGAATCGTGCATGGGTATCGTGGGTGCGCACCTCTGTGGAGTCTCATACTGGTGGTTTAACGTTTATCTGTTCATAATTTCAATGGAATCCAATGATTCCCACGATCCTATACTTAAAATTATCATATTATAGTAATATTTCCAACTCTTGCACAAATGCTTAATTATTTCTTTCTGATAACTTTCTTTGTGATTGTCTTAATAAGTTTCGTTCTATTGACTTAAAACCACTTACTTGATTGTTCTTTCTCATATTGATTAATAGACTGGATCTTTGCCGATAGATTTATTGATCTGTCGGTTAATGAGTGCTTTGCTTCTATAAATTGTCGTGTATTCCCAATTTTTTTTTTTTTACATTTCGTCAATCGAATTTGTTTTTGTAATAATAGTAGTAGTCTATGTGTACTAATATCACCGATAACAAATTATGTTGTTTTATTGCTTGAGAATTTCCAAATACATACGATTCACATTAATAGATTTATTGACTTCGATTTACTTTGCTTAATCCATCAAGGAAATGGTCAATCTACCATATGGTCAAAAGTTAACTGAATAAGACTTGTAAAGAGAATTAGTCACAAAGATATTTATCAGAAAGAATTGTCTTAACACTTTTGCAATGATTGAATATTTTACTTCTACTTGAAGTATACTTCAGGTTTATACTGATGATGTCGTTCAGAAGAATCATGAATGCTCCACAACCAAACCATCCAGTTCAGAGAACAAAACTCCATCAACAAGAATAATTAATCACCATATATTCAACTATAAAGTTTTTAGCTTGTCTTTATCTTGTAACCTTTTTGTCACATTAATATATGTGTACTATTAAATAAGATATCTTAAAGTCTTCATTATTTCTCTTTGCGAACATAGAATTTACATTTCTCTAAGCTGTTTTACATCTGTTTGTGACTATTAAACATCTGAGAAGACTGAGGGGGCGGGGAGCCAGCGAGCTTAGTTGTTTGCATAGTTGTTTTTTCATTTACCACTTTTGACCTCACCCTCTCTTCTACTTTGGTCAGCTGGATAATAATCTTATCAGTCTTCACCATGAAGTTTTCGTTGTGTACCTTGACAATGTCATCAGCACATAATTCAATAAGAATTGCTTCACGATTGACTAACTGCTTGTTCTAGTGGCCCTAGAATCTGGTTGGTTTTTGTTCATAGGCTTCTAGCTGTTGTTTGTTTGTCTGTCTTGACTTTCCATCTGTGACTTTGGAGGTGTTTATCCTTTTCGTGATTGATCGTTATATTTGGTCAATCCTATGCCTATTGGTTGATGCATGCTTCTAAGAATTCTCTAGCTTTCTTTGTATATCTTTTGTTCAGTATTTTGATGTTTCCCCAATCGAAATCATGTCCATAGTTGTTCACATGATGTGATATGAGAAAAGCTATGTCGTGACGTTTAACCCGCCAGCTGATGTTCACGGAACGGATAGTCGCTTTGTTCTAAATATTGCTTTTCGCAGCTTCTGCAACGAACTTTGTTGATGATATTTAGTTTGTCTCCGTTTGCCGTCGTGTCCTTTGCTCTGCATAATATTGATTGTAATGTTTTTCTAGGTTTGTGTGCTACATCTATTGTTAGCAGTCTTAATAATCTGTTTATCACAAACACATTAACCTTCATACTGAAAATGTAACCGACGTAGAAAATACCTGGCAAACATTACAGTATCAAACTTGACATCAAAGATAATATTTTGATCTATATCTATTAATTAATATGTTCAGTGCAATATATCTATAATTCATGGCTTTTTTAAAAAAGTTATGTTGTTGAATAAAACATTTTATTTTATTCATTTCATTATTAAGTTACACATTCAACTTTAAATCGTCTACCATCCAATTCATCATCATCTTCAATTATTGGTAATCTAACTGAACCAAGTAGTTTAGGTAGTTCAACAACGAGTCGTGACAGTTCATTAACTGTTGTTTCATCATCATACAATGGTTGCAGCAGCAGTAGTGGTGGTGGTGTTGGTATCGGCTATGGTCTCGTCGGCCCTAGTATCGGTGGATATACTGCTGGTCATGATGAGTCAGCATTTACAGAACAACAACAACAACAACAAACTCAACATCAGTCTTCAATATCATCATCATGTTATTACGAAACATCTACAAACGGATCACTTTCACCAGCGTCTAGTCTATCATCTATGATATCGACTACATGTGTTCCATCCCATTCGTTAACATCCAATATTTCAAATTCTATAAATAATAATAATTCTCCATCATTATGCAATAATAATAGCACATCAATTGCACAAGGTTGTCTACGAGCATTAAGATCTGGTGAAACAGTATTTCGTGCATCAACCAATACTTCAACTGGTACATTGAATTCACGAAGAAAAGTTAGTACATCTTCAAGAACAAATACTCCAATGTTGTTGACAGATGAAAGATCAACAAATCCAAGGTAAATACACAGTTTTACTTTAGTTTTTTCTGTAAATTTATGCTTGTGTATATGTTAGTTTTTTTTCTTTTTTTTCTCTCTCGATGGACCTGTCATTCACTGAGAGCATGAGATGTAAACCAACTGTGTGTCATTACAAGTTGAAGTTAAGTATTCGCGCTGGAAACTGAAGATTCTGGGTTCTAATCACACGCGTGGGATCGTATATACTCACTTCTAAGGAGTCACATACTAAGACGAAACGGCCGTCCATTGCTTCCAGGTTTACAATGAAAGTCTAACATTGGTCGATTCATGATCTCAATCAAAACTCAACAACCTCCACAACCCTAAACTGATCATTCTTTCTTCTTGAATCATATTGTTTATCCCCAATTTTTTTCTCCTATCAATAATCTTCTGTTAATATTTCTGCTGCTGTGCTATTTGTCTTGATGATTTCTTATCACTATGTTGACATGCTGTGTCGGCTGAAAACACTGTTTGACATAGGTTTAGTGCTAGGTGACAACCATTAGCAATGTGTACCTGCAAATTGGAAGGGATTGATGTTCCCTGTAAGGTTTGTTCTCCATACAACTTGATCGGCAGAAAACATCAACAGGAAATATCAGTTCCCTTGGGATTTCAGTCACACCTTGCCGATGAGGTTTAATTAGCACGAGACCTTTGTCTAGGGCTTTCCTCTCAACTACCTCCAACAATATAACATAAAATGGATTACTTATAAATGCTCTATGGCTCTTAGATGGTGGTTGGAGGCAGTCAACAGGAAGCCCTGGTCCCGGGTTCCGTGCTACTTGGCACTCCTCAGCAAGGTGTACGTGCAATCTTGAGGGGACTGGTGCTCCCTGACGGATTTGACCCCATGTCACCCAGCTTCACAGTCAGAGACGTTACTATTAGGCTATCCGGGCCGTGACCGACCTCCTGTAGGAATGAGATGTGATTACAATTGATTGATCACCACCCAGTGACCAATCAATTGTGACTCTTTGGCTCTGTTAGTTTCATTTACATCAGAATTATTTATTTCCTATTTTTTTCTTATTGTAGAATCAAAAATTTATCACCAACTGTAACATTAGTTAACTTATCAACAAAAAATTCTACTGATGATGCTATTTCTTCATCAAGTTTATTAAGAAAGAAATCCAACTTATTATTTAATCGTGATATATATCAGTCATCATCATCAACTGAACGAAGTCCAAATAATCATTTAACTAATTCTGCTAATATAACAACTAGCATTAATACTAGTCATACGTTACAACAACATAAAACTTTAAATCGTGTAGATCTATCACATTCATCATCATCTTCATCGTCAATATCACCACTATCTACACCATTCTTGGGTGAATCAACGGTACAGTGTTCTCAAACAAGTATGTTTTGTCGTTTTCAATATTCTTCATTACAATTATTTTCTTTTCAATATATAGAATTTAGTATGTACTAAGGTGATTTTCGAACATTGATCTCCTACCAGGAGGTCCACTTATCGACTTAAATTACACAGATGACATAGTCCTGTTTGGTGAAGACGCTGATAAAATGCAGAGTCTTTTGGTAGCACTGAACAACAATGCCAAGATGTTCGGGATGCGTTTCTCCCCCTCTAAATGGAAGTTGTTGCTTCAGGACTGGCCTGCGTCAACACCTGAACTAAAGATCGGGAGTGAATTAGTCGAACGCGTTGACAACTTCACTTATCTTGGAAGTCTGATTAGCCTTAATGGGTCGGTGTCTGACGAAACCTCTACACAGATTCAAAAAGCTCGTTTGGCTTTTGCCAACTTACGTCACCTATGGCGAAGGCCAGATATCTGTCTATCAATCGAAGGACGAGTATACTGAAAAGCAGTTCCTCCTATTTTACGTTATGGCTGCGAAACGCGGCCAATAAGAGTAGAAGGTACTCGTAAGTTACCAGTATTTGATCACAGATGTCTTAGAGATATTGCTGGCGTCTGCTGGGATCACCGGGTAAGTAATAGTGAGGTTAGACGCAGGTATTAGGGATCGATGGCAAATCAATTGATGAAGTTTTGAATCTTCATCGACTGAGATGGTTGGGTTACGTGTTACGTATGCCTAAACACCAATTACCACGATGCACATTGCTGAGTAGTGTTGGGGATGGTTGGAAGAAAGTTAGGGGTGGCCAAACCAAAACGTGGCATCAGTCCACAAAATCACTAACTTCTGGTTTGAGCCATGTTGATAGATGCAGACTACTTGTTTGGGGTCCGCGTGACTATCGTAACCAATGGTTGGAGACTCTGGGTGACATTGCTGACAGTGGTGTAGGTGTATACACTTTCTTTCTTTAAACTATGAGATTAAAATCGCTTCATATCTTTCTTTCTACGAGCTAATTCTTTCTTCCTATACTATATCCTTATTGCGATCTTTCTTTTATATATTACCACCTCTAAATTAACTACTTTTATGAATCCGGTGTCTATCTTGTTGTGCTAATGCGGTGTAGCAACTTGGACCGATGTATATATGTGCTTGTTCCTACGTTACAACTGACTGACGTCTGTAGAGATCTGCTGAGTTTTTCTAATTTAAAATTTGTGTTTTGATTAAAAATCCCAAAACACTAAACCATTGTTTTGACTAAGTTAACTTCAATATGATCGTATTCTCTATGAGAATCTATGCGCTTTGAATTTAATTATATTTGTGAGATTATTAGCTCACATTATTTATGATAGGTTTCAAACTAGACTGAAATAGTTGTACAGTTGTGTGTACTTAATATTTTCTCTTGTGGAAATTTCCCGTCTAGCTTTTGTATAGAATTCTGTTTTTCTTCATATATATATATAATCTCATATGAAAGTGTCTTTATATCTAAATCACTCAACGTATCAAAATAGACATGAGGTATGATTCGTGTACTTCGATTTGATGAGTTGGTTGGAATCATCAGTCTCTATTCAAAGTGTAAGTCAAAGATGTCTACATTAACTAGTCACTGATAAGTCGTGCAAATTGGACGCTATATTCGTTTCCTAAGCTATTCTGTAATCTCCAAGCTAGAACTATACAGCGACCTGAACACAGGAGAGAAGGCGCAAAGTATGCGTGAAGTACTTCACTCCAAAGGTTCATTTTAATACAGAAAATATAGGGTTTTTATAATATTTTTAGATGTCCTTGAGTTGCTCGAAGATTCTGGAATGCTACTAGACATAATAGCAGTATAGCAGTCAGTCAATCAGAACCTCTACATGTGACGTTTCACTTCCTTGATGTTTCTGGCTAAAACTTCTAGTGAACGCTGATTGGATGAAGTACTTCTTAGCGTTTCCTGATCTTTGCTTGTCTTTTGCGAGAAATTTTCTGGATCACCCCAACAGTCACTTATTTAGTATTTTTGCGGTTCGGCTCAACTATCATTCACTCTTTTACTTCTTGGTCATATTTTTCCAATTTGAATAAAGCTACTGAAAACTTATGCCTATTTATTGACAAGTAAACAGGGACATTTGTTTACTTATTTAAACACATAGGGATTGGTACAAGAAGGCACCAAATATATATGCGCCACATAAGCCATTCGATTTGAGTTGGGGCTATGATACTGCCCGGGTGCCCAGACCGAATCAGGTGGTTTACTTAGGGGGTCACACCCGAAGCCTTCGACCTAAAGGTCTAATCCATAAGGTAGTAGAGCAACGTAAGGAGATGCAGTCCCATGGTAGCCGGTCGCCAAAATTGGGTTCATACGCCATTTGTTCCCTTAGGATCCTGGAGCACATATGCACCATTGGTTTGGAATGAGGGTTTCCCAAGTCCCCCTAGGTGAACCTCTTAATTCCCTAGTTTAATAAAACTTTACAAAAATGTACATTCCTTAGAATCGTATAAACTATGTTATATTTTAACTCAGTGATCTAAATATATCGTATTTGCTTCGAGATTGAATGGCCACGGGTTCGATCACATTTGAAGTGGCAAATTCACACCGTTGAAGAGTAATAGTCTCATATTGGAATAAAACACTAGTTCAATGCATTCTAATATCCTCAACAGTTTTACATATGATGTTGTCAGTTTGTAATAAAGATGGTGAGACTATAATCTATGGACGAAACAACCAAATTTAGAATAACAGATCTTGGATTTTGGCGCGAAATTCATTCATTTGGTGTTAAATAAAGTTTTGGTATTATAGCTGATGTCAGTTTGTGATGAAACCCTTTGATCTAATTCCTAACTAACTATCAACTGTAAATCATAATCTATATCTTTCACATAGATTTATAACCCCTATTTTGCATTGGTAAGTTGTTGAACACTCTCAAGGTCACTTTGGAGTTGCTCAAAGGTCGTCCATAAATTATAATCTCACCATAAAGATTAATATCAAATTATTTATTGCTTTTTTTTCTAAATGGAATCTTTTTTTGGATCTATTAGATAATGTTCAATCGAAATTGAGTCACCCAACAACACCAAAAATAGACACGACAACACCATTAAATGAAAATAATAATGGTAATGTGTCCAGTATGGATTTAAACAGTGTAATGGCATCATTTTTAAGCAAACATTTTGGTAGTTTTCTTGATAATGATACAAATCTATGTAATACGAATGGTATCAATGGTGATGATAGTACTGGTCGTTTCCAAATGAATAAAAGTCATGGTAAGTCGTCAGTAAGTGTTTAATTATCTGCATGTTTGTTTGGTATGAATCTTAAGCAACTACATCATTTAACATTATGTTTATTGTGATGAGTTTTTTTATTACTGACTGATGATGTCTGTTATCTAGGTGTTGTTGTAACCATGAGGAATCATACACTACTTTAACTGATCAATAGAGCAAACTAATTGAAGTTTTAAATGTAACCCCACTACATGTGATAACTTACTGGTGTAAATGTAACAAGCTAGCTGAGAGGTTTAAAAATTGTGGGTTCCATCTCTGACATTGGGATTTAGGATTTGTACTGTTGAGATATCCTATGCTTAAACGAAACAAGTACTCCCTGGATATTTTTTCTACTGTTTAACTGAAGTTTCCCTCTTTAGTATCGACTGAAGATCTTCAGTAATGAAATGACCTAACTTGAAATGCACAATCTTGTACTGGTACTTTTTGATGTTTTGAATTAAATAATCTTCAAATACCATTGCATACTAATACTCTTTCATGATGAATTTTCATTTCTTTTCTCCTTAATTTAACACACATTTACATTCGTAAGTATGTTATTTTCATTTTAACAGTCCCATCGAGTTATCGATCCAATTTGTCGAAATCACCATTCAAATCAAGTTTATCTAGATTACCACCGGTATGTGAAAATTTATTTGTGATTTTCCTTACTGATTTAAATCCTTCAACAATTGATGTTTTGACTTTTATAAAGGTTTTTATTTCCCTCATTGTCGTTATTCACGATTGGATTTTGATCAGTATTTTCTGACTTATTCTGCATCCAAAGCGGATGTTTCTGTATTACTATTTAGTGACAAAGTTTTATTACATTAGAATTGTCGCTACTAGCAGAACGTATGGTAATGGTTTCGATCCATTTGGGCCTCGTTAACTGGATGTATCTTGGTCTCAGTATTGATGCTCACATTGATACTCGAACCGCAGTACTTATTCAAATACAGATTAGTTATTCCCTAATTTTTAAATTTCAGATGGCCAATGATAATATGTTAATATCAAAACCAAGATGTAGGTGCATCCAGATGACAAATCGCAAACAGGATAAAACGCGTGTCATGGGTTCCGCTGGGGGTAGATATCATATGTGACAGTTCTGCTCCGAGCTACCGTTGGGGTCGGGTTGTTTGTGAATGCCGCCCAAAGTGAGTAGTAGACTCCATGGTTAAATACTTACACGAGTCCGATGGCGAACAAGTACCGTGAGACAAAATTGAAAAGTACATTAGAGAGAGTGAGAGAGAGTAGACAGTACGTGAAACCGTTCAAAGATAAACGGTGGAGTTGAACTATAAGCTCTGGGAATTCAGCTGATGAGTATGATTTTTGCTTGGGCATACTGACCGCCATCAGTGTTTGTTTAACTGCAGGTGCATGCCTTTTAGTGGCTATATGTTAATCGTTTGCATAAGATGCACTCACTGTTGATGTGAGGGTCTGCTTGCCAGTGCACTTTCTCAGGATGTTCACCACAACCGGCACTGCTGCCTGTCTGCTATGGCCATACTGATCAGGTCTGATATCTGTCAGTCTTGGTTGGGTCGGCAGGTGACTCTTTGGCTGATCTATGGGCTGTGAGTATTACTAACCGGCTGTAGTGGAGCTATGCGATGTGTCGGAGATAGCGGCTTCGCAGGCGTGCCTAGGCCTTCAGGCATTGTTGAGTTTGGTCGGCTGATGGCTTGATTTTCTAACGTTGGAGGTTGCGTTATTCTGCACCAATCTTCGTTCTTGCTCTCTTTAAGATACATTTATGTATGGTTTTGATAATGTAGAGTTTTCTGAAAACATGCTATAACTAGTACCAAACCGGTAATTACTCAAACAGGACTTGACACAATCCTTCATTTTTCTCTAGGACATATCTGTTGAAATCTGACAGGACAAAGTATTTTTAGCCTTTTTTCAACTTCTGAGAAATTTGTAAAGGCGTCTAACATTGAATCAGTCAAATCATTGTTTATAGCTCAAGTGGTTATATCTAAGTTTCGATCTTATAATCTATTCCAACCGCTAAATTATCATTTGATTTTTGTTGGGGTTGTCAGATCCCCATAATTCACTTGGTAAATACCTTATTTTTGTAATTTTGTTTTGAAAATTCGAATTTCTTGTTTTTGCGCCAAAAGCTCTCATTTCACCGTCATGTCGTATTTCCCACTTGGGAGAATTTTAAACTCTATTGGTTCGTTGTATCTATTAGTATGTTATTTTGTAACGATTCCATGGGACAATATTTTGCTGTATATATACGCTTGATTTGTGTCTGTTATTATTGCTCGTGCTTCTGGCTGTTTGCGGAATCTATTTTCCCGTTTCGAACTTGAACTTCTCTCTCCCTAGTTAGCAGGGCTGGGACGCATCAGAACAACTAGCAGCTTATTGATCATTGGTCATAGAGTCTTTGTTCCGTTCGCGGACAAGGTGAACACGCAATCGCTTCAAACATAACAATTTTAGATATTGTTTTGCTGTTCACAATCATTTACTCAAACTTGTAAATATCTATTGATTTTTTTATTTTTAACTTTTTTTTCTTTTTGATTAGAAACGTGGAAATCTACGCAATACCGACGATGATGATGATGATGATGTACTCGCTATTTAATCATCATGTGAACCTTGTCATCTATGCAACATTCAAACTGCACAATAGATATATGAATCTAAAGAGGTATATATATATATATTACTACTTATAAATCATTCATTACAATTATTCCTTTCCATTGCATTTTCATAAACATTTATTTATTAAATTATAATTAACTGTTACTATATCCATAGGAAATAAACCATATAGGATTATATTTGTGTGTGTATGTGTGTTTCCTTGTTCGATTCTTCCATTGTGGTGACTTTTATCATTTATCAATCATTTGGAATGTTATTTACCTTAATCATGTCTAATGTTGTCTACTATAATAAATAATAAATACTTGTTTGTAAGACATCTATTTGAATATGATGTAATTCTCAGATATATTCCTGTTGTATATACATTGATACATATCTTTCTTGAATAACATTGTACTGCTCTGCAATACTTAATCATCATAACCATGTATTTTCTTTTAACTTGACCGTTATTGCAGGTCCTATGTTGTTGTAACTGACTGACTGACTTTCCTTTAAGCACTTTTTCCTATAATGTTGATACACACACACAAACACACTGGTTTTACTCCTGTCCCATTACTCTATCACAATAATTATGTTGTCCGTACAATTGTGTTACTATCCAAAGACGAATATAAACACACAAAAAATTGTATTTATTCCTTACAATATTAGTATTCTTCAACTTACTACATACATATTTATCTTTTATTTAAAATGAATGATTGTTTTATGCGTCTAGTTATTATTATTTGTCATGCCTTAAGAAGAAACCCCGGTGGTGTTTGTTACGTTGTTTTTTTTTCTATTTAAGCCATTTGTGCAATTTTGTTACATACTATGTGTGTTTATGTGTGTGTTTATGTATCCACTTGTTTGTGCTTCTTTTTCTTTGTATACCTTTTGAAGGACTGATAGATTTCTAAGAATCAGAACAGGAGTTGTATTAGGTTTTTCACTTTACTCTTGATCATGGTGATCATGGAGGTATATATATTTATATACTACTGATTAGTTTTATTGATTTATTTATCAATTGTGTTCATTTTCAGCTTTTAAGGAGGAGATAGGAAATATTTTCCATTTCTCATCCAGTGATGTTATTCTTGCTCTTTGTTTCTTTTGGGGGTGGGGAGGGGGTAAGGGTAAGAACGAGGTGGTGTTGATTGTTCAAATAGGAAAGTTTTTTCTCACTTATACTTCAATCCATAATGTACTCACTGTCGATATATATAGTTTAATTCTTTGTTGCCATATAGATATATATCGTTCTAAGTATTTTCCGAATGATTATCAACATTGTTATTGTCTATGTTTTTGTTGCATTTAGTCTTTTACAATTCGAGGCCTCTTAATACTCTTCACCTTTTTTTTGTTTCATGGGAATACTTTCCAAATCATTATCACATCTCATTTTTGTTCCCTTACTGTTTTCATTTGTGTGTGTGTTTTGTTTAAATCATTAAAATATTGTCATATTTTTCGTTTATTATCCTTTTTTCTATTTTATGTTTCATATTCGTTATCATGTTAGTGACACTAAGAAGTGTTCACATATACCATATGAAGAGAGAATGAGATTATTCTTCCCCCCCCCACACACAAATCCACTCCTTTTTTTACACTATGAATAGAATCTTGTAATGTAAACATAATGTTTTCATATGATCATTGCATTTTCAACTAATCACTTCATGTTTCTTTACTCATCAAAGTATTATGATGTAATATGAGTAAAGTTCGTGTGTATACTGAAATATTGACTTTATTTAGTTATCTAAACGGATTGTACTGTCTAATTCGTTTTTTTCTCTTCTCTTTTTCGTAAAGATTAATTAATTGTAAACTGAAATGCTACATTAATTTGATGTTTATGATTTGAATTAATTATCGTCAATACAACATTAATTCTATCTGAGGAAATATCAGTATTTTAATGATGATAAGTCGATAAGATTTTCTTGATTAAGATCATGAACCGATTGATTTTAGATTACCATTGTAAACCTGGAAGCACTGGACGGCTATTTCGTCCTATTGTGGAACTCCTTAGCAGTGCGCACCCACGATCGCGCTCGCGGGATTCGATAAAACTACACTATTTGTGATTGAATATTAAATAAAAACAACCTTCAAATGAAAACAGTAAAGCCCCCAAATACCCTGGTACGGCTGAGAGTGGGGAGATTCAGCTCTCTCGAAATACTTTCATATGGCCACGTCATGCAACCACTGCCAGGGAAGTCCTACGAAATTGAGAGAACGAAAATCAAATGTCCGGCTCTTTAATCGGAGAGTTCACCTACGGGAGTTGGAAAACCCTGACTCCAAACCAAGGGTGCACATGGGCTCCAGTATTCTGAAGGAACAAATGCCATATGAACCCATTGTTGGTCACCGGCTACAATGGAACTGCCTCTCTTTGCGATGCTCTACTGCCTTACGAATTAGACCTTTTAGTCGAAGGCTTCGGGTGTGACCCCTAAGCAAACCACCTGTTTCTGTTTGGGGATTTGGGCAGTATCCCAACCCTGACGCAAATCGAATGGTTTATGTGGCGCATATACATTTGGTGCCTCCTTGTACCAATGTTTATATCTTTAAATAAATAAATAGAAAACGGTATATAAGCAATGTCATTTATTTAATGATCATAAATCGTAGGTCGATTGTATATGTGTTCAATTTGCAAGTCAAGCAAGACATTCTGACTTCATTCGTTTGAAATATTTAAAGTTCAGTGGAAAAATGTTTCTGCAAACGACTCGTTTTCTACACACCATTTTAACAGAACACTTAGAACAAAGATTGGTGCAGAATAATAAATGGATTCACTTTTTAGTTCATTAGGTTCTCATCAGCTGCTTACAACCTAAAATGTTTGAAATTCAAAGTTATTATAGATATTGACATACTTATACATCAGAGAGTGATGAAGGATAAATAAATGTAATGATAATAAAGAGAGATATGAATTGAAATCAGTCAGTTATAAATGATGTAATTATAAAATTCAGAAAGAGTTGGAATGGTGGATGACGTAATAAATAAATAAGGGGGGTTAGTGTTACCAGGGTCGAGAAAGATTTATTACTGTTTCTTTTTGTATACAAAGATTTGGTTTTAGAAGTTTGATTGCTATCACCTCGGCAAATTTCAAAAGGTTTGAGTTTGATTGTTTGTTAATCTCCTTGAAGGACTTCAGTGTATCGACTTCGTGTCCTGTGTCAATGAGATGTCTTGCGATAGCGCTGCTGAATGCTTTTAGTCCGTTTGATCTTAAACCCTTCGGAATATGTTCTTTGAATCGAACGTAGGCTCTCCTTTCTGTTCTACCAATGTAACTGCTTTGGCAGATACATGTAAATTTGTATACACAGTTGGTGGTAACATGAAAGGGATACTTTTCGACCTTTGATTGTATCAAAGAACATGTTGTTTTGGACAGGATAATCAATTTAGCTGCAGGATAAGTTCTTGTCAATGCAGTTTTTAGTCTCATATTGATTGACACTGTGACATTATCACCTTTGAATTTGAGTTGAATTAAAAGCATCCATAACACTCAACTAATAATAGTAGTCAATAAGTTGTTAGGTACTTAGAACTTGGTATATATCTGTATCGATCGAAGTTGCCACATCATATCAATACAGTGAGATGAAATTATGAAAACAAATAACAGACTATTACAAGTAGTAATAGTTTCAGTGATAGTAGGAAACATTAGGAATGGACAACACAATTCGAGAAGAATTTGAATTTTCAGAATAAAGAGTGTAAGTATTTGAAGGGAAAACGTGGATGTATCCGAGACATTTCTTCTAACATCCCTCATCATTGGCTACGATAATCGTGTGGACTCTAACCTGGTAATCTACACCTACCAACAGGAGTCTGTTTAACAGTCAGTGACTATAGGAATTGTCGCTACGCTTAATTATATGAAATGATGAAATGAAGACTTTACTTCTACCTGAAGTTTGTGTTGATAGTGTCGTTTAGAAGAACGATGAAAGCTCCACGACCAAACCACCTAGCTCAGAAGACAAAATCATCCACCTGAGCTACAAATCTTCACCATCTCAAATGATATAAAATGTTTTTTTTAAAATACTTTTACAATGTAAAATGATTTCCCTAACTCTTGTTTCCATTCATAATCATAACAAAACAATATTTCAGTATGGAACTGTTGCTTGCTTACTAAACCAATCACTAATTAAATGTATTGAAATTGATATCTATCTAATCTCCTATCAGTAGTTCAGTAGTATCGTTAGCTATCATACACAAATTATTATCTAATGCTTGATATTGACAGATTCATGATGCTGTATGGTATTTAAATACTTGATTGCTAGTTATTAATAATGTAGAATCCGATATGAATGCGTCAACTTGAACTGATACATATATTTCAAGTTCTATTTCTCTTATAACTAACAGACATGAATATGTGTCCATCAAAGTTGCTGCATTTTCAGTTAACACTACGAATAATGCAATGAACAAGATGAAAAAAAAACAGAAGAGGACAGATAATATTGTTTGTTGTAATGAAAAGTTAATTATACATGAAATGTAATTCAAATGTGATTTAATGAGGTTGAGTAATACAAAGTGTACAGTGGGACTGGACTGAGCTTAAGAATATAAAGAGGTATATCAATAACAAGTGTATAACTAATCGATCACTGAGTGATAATAAATATCATATTTGTCTAGTTTTATATTGTTGCTTGAATTTTATCAATGTAACCACTAGTTTAAGTGATTCGACACTTTGTTCTCTATCTTTTGATTTTATCTGGTAGTTGGAGTTAGTCTTAAGAAACTTTGTTTGACCGACGTTTCATGGGAATCACCAATAAAGCGAAACTTATCCTTCGTGTGAGATGCAAATCCCTGTCACATAACTTCACAGACTGACACTTTATCCCTGTGCTATTCGAAGTCTGAATAATCTTTTGTAAAACTGAAATTTTT